TTTGACAAAATACGATACCACAAATTACAAATCCAATGCTCAGAACATATTATAGTTTACACAAATTTTGCAATTGCAATGTTTGACTTTTGTCTATGTTATACATGCCACATACTCTTTGCAGGCTCAGCATGCTTTATTGCGCACCAGATACTGAATTTAGAACAATATTAAATGCGAAACAAACTCAAAATGCGAAACATAAAATGAAATAAATAGGATGAGCCAAACCACTTGTGAATAACAGAGATAAAGTCTAGAGCCTCCCTGCTGTCTAAACACCAGAACACTGTAGTAAAACCTGCACACACATCTCCCACTTCCTGTGAGGAACATCCAGCAGGCGAGAAACTTCCCTGCACTCCTCCTCCCGGGATGTAAGACTGATATTATTCACAAAATCCTGTGAAACACCGATGGCTGTCGGAGAACAGGAGGTCGTCTACAAACTGTGTGAACTATTCTAAAATGCACTGCAGGATTTATAAAGTCTTTTATCCTTCACGTGTAACATGAGCCGTTACACGTGAAGATTTTTATGGCTGCCCGGACATCACAGATTTTTGAAACACAAACCTCCTGTTTAGTTTCGAGGCTGAGACATGTACACACGTGCATAGAACACACTCCACAATCCCACAAGTTCACACACGCATACACTCACACACTATGTAACAGCCATGACTCCGCTGGACGCAATACAATAAGCTATTGTAACCTCAAACCAAAGGTCTTGACGCCCATATGCTTTTGTCATTAGTCTCAATTATAACAGGTTATGAGGTCACTCGCTGATGTGTGTTAAGACATACATCCCTTAACTCTCTCTCAAGAACACACACACAAAAACACACACAATCAATGCCAAAATAAGGTTCTGGCTATTTTGTTGCAGCCTACGATCCAAGTTGGATTAACCCACATGATCCTTTAACTATTTATTTTTGGTGGGAACTTTGACGCTCAGTATCTGTGGAGCTCTCCTGCAGGCATGCACCAGATCACTGCTTGATTCCAAGCTTCAGACTTTTCACAATGGGCAAAAAATCTCCAATTCTTAACTTTTTGGGGGATGTTTTTATCCGTCTATTTCTCTCACTGTTATCGCAGGCTGCTTGTGCGTCTCCTGCTCACCATCAATATCAGTGGGACCCAGATAAGTCTGGCCCAGGTTTATCTCTCACACACACACACACACACACACACGTACCACACAGCAACACACACACACACACACACTCACACCACTCCCTCCACCCCTCCTGCGTATCCTCTCTCAGCCACCGGCTTCCTTGATGGGGAGAGAGGGGACTAGATGGACGGGAAGAGAGGAGACAGCGGGGATGTGACACAACAATGGCAGGAAGTGACTTCAGATCGATTCAGATTAGGTCAAACACACCAACACAGAATCATCAAGCTAACAAACAACCCAGGCGAAGAGATAAACACGCAACACAAACAATGACAAATAAATGTGGCAAGGCCACAAAAAAACTTTAAAATAGCAGCGCCACTCATCATGTGGCACGGGACATTTCTCCTTCTTTTATTAGCAACAAATGAGGTTCTGAAAACATTTTCTTTATTCTGATTTACAATTTAATTGTGTTAAACATACACTCAGTAAATATCCTCTACTACTTGAGTCATATGTTAAATTTAAAATGGTTTAACCACAAAGAGTTGCTGTTAAGTTATTGTTGAAGTTATGAGGCACTGCTCAGTATTTTGAAATGTGCTGATTGATAATAAACCATGATCTGAGATCTGAGAGCTATTATAGGCATCAACTAACAGGCCTGGTTATTTATTCCTGTAAACTGAAATAGATATATTTTTTTTGATCATATTTTCCCGGCTTATGAAGGCCTCTCGCTAAAAAACTTTCGTTTTTTTGCACATAATAAATAAAAATACCCTTTATTAATGAGAGCCAGGTTTTTGTCTCCATTGATCCGTGCTACTACCATGCACCCGATATATGTTTTAAGATTTGGAGATTTGCACCGTTACGTCCATTAAATCATATTTAAGCACAAGCCAAAGAGAATTACGATTCGGCAAATAAACAAATAAAAACCTGCATTGAAACACAAAGACAGATCAAGAATCCTCCAAAATAAAAGCAAGTTGTTTGCAGGAAGTTTGCAGAGTCAACAGTGGTTGCAGTTGGAGAGGGGAAAGGTGGTTCAACAGTTCAGAGGTCACAACAAGGTCCCTAAAACAGAAAACCTGATAGGTCTGGTGGTTGTATAATGTGTAACCAGGAGCCTGCCTAACTTCAAACATACTGAAATCAAGTGGAAAGAAGCAAGACATATTTTAAGAAACATTTCTTACATTTCAGTGCTAGCAGAATCAATGGCCTTAAGGCCTGCATTCAATTTTGCTACTTTTAAACAGAAAATGATCCTTTAGGAACAATACCTTGGATGTGGATCTGAAGTAGTAGCTATAAATAAGTCTTACGATGATTCATGATTCTGCTTGGATGTTAGTGTAAAGGAGATGAGGGGGGATATCCAGCGTATCATTTCCCATTACGAATCACAGCCCAGTCTCAAAAACCCTGATGGATCTGAGATCATTAGAGGTGCACGTCCAGCTACTGTTTAACCCGAGGAGAACCATAAAAAGGACACACACATCCTGTCCACTGTCCTTTGTACGAGCATCTGTCTGACCCCCGACACCTTCCACTCTGCTCCACTCTGCTTCCTGTCACACACGTGCAGGTCCGCTACTTGAAACTTTTCATCAAAGCCTTCCCCCCCCAAAACATGGAAAAGTCCCAAATAGGAGCACCAATGAGGTCTCAGTCCTCTGTTCACTCACATGTTCACAACATGAATTTATACTATTTTACCTATAGACACACACATTTATTGTATTAGACACAAATCACAGCATGCATACAAACACAAACTGCAGAAAAGGCATGGCAGCTGCAATCCAATTGAACCATTCAGACTATTATCAACGTCACAGTTGTGTTTTTTGTTCTGTGCCCCTGACCTCTACCCCTTTTAATCCTTCTTTGGGCAGAGGGCACTATGGGGGATGGCAGACTGGGGATAAAGGTGCAGACCCTCAGGACTCGTTAGCAAAAAGCTTTATTGGAGCTTTGCAGCTCATGAAGCCAGACTTTAATCTCCCAGACGCTTCACACATATGTTCTCATGGGATCTTCCACCTCGCCTGCCCGCCCGCCCCCCCCATAAACAGCTACAGTGTATAAACAGACATCACATGGGTGGGGTATCTGCTTACACTCACACATTCAGTGCATGAGCTTTGGAAATGGTTGTACAATCGGAAAAATAGAAGTACGCAGTCGGTACGTTTTTGTCCCAAAAAGTAAAACACGAGCGCGGAGATTCATTCTTGACTCCAGAATATTTGATCACAGAGTAATAGTACATGTAAACGTTTCATAGCTGTACCATACCAGGTAAATAACTGACCGACGCATACATTTGAATCCACCAGCCAAGGTACAGCAGATTAGAGAGGCAGATTCAACATTTGCACCATGTGAACAGGGAAAGTATCATTTGAGTTCTTATGGTTAAATGTTTTTTGGATATACCTTGACTTTAGCTAGTCATAGTGGAGAGAGGACAGGGAAAGAGGGTGAGAGAGAGAGATGCAATGAGGTGAGACCCCCTAAACCATCGTGTCACCCAGAAGCTTGGTCAGTTTTTCCCTGCAATATAATGCAATGTCATTCGACAACTAACTGCATTGGCCAACCAAATGCGTGCAAGAGCACTTTCCTGGTAGATTACTTTGTAATGTGAACCTTTGAGAGAGAAGATAAAATGATTGCGACGACTTCCCAGACTTTTAAAATCCCGTCTCAGAGTACAATAAACTGCCGAGTAGAGTTTTCTGCGTCCGACGAGTCTTAGAGCTCATAGACTCATAGAGTATCATCACTCAAACCGGAGTGCCTTGATCATATTTCATCCTGTCACCAGCACTAGTAGCAACACATCCACACCAACATGGCTGACCTATTTTCAGTAGCCACATCGACTGGGAGAAATGCACCGAAACATGAGTACACACATTTCCTCAATCGTGTGAGAGAGTGTACCATGATGTTCTTGTATACAATACTGCCCCAGCAACGAGCTAGTGTACTACATACTGCTCGGGTTACGTCTCCTCCTCCTCCTCTTCAGACCGGCCATGAAGCCAGTCTCCCATTACACCCTCTCTGGCACCAGCACAGGGAGAGACGGACAGGTGGAGGGGCCGGGTGGGGTCCGGTGCGGTAGGGCGGGGTTGGATTGAGGTGAAGGGTGGAGTTGGGGGTGACAAGCAAACATTGTTTACGGACAGCGAAAGGCACAAAAGAGATGAGAGGAAACAGAAACATAAACACGCTTTAATGACATGCATCCTCAGACAAGTGACACACAAAGTCCGTCACAGAAAAGGCGGGAATGTGACATGAGGATGATGAGAACTCCCAGACAGCTCATCTGATTGCCGGGTGTGACAAATCAAAATATGTCATCAAGTGTTGCCCCTCTACTTAAAATGATAAGACCAAAAGAATTCCACTGACAATAGCAATGGATTTATATCTAAAAGGGACAAGTCTCCTACTTATATAAATAAAAAGTGTTGCGGTTTCACTGGTTCGGTATATTGAAATGTAGAGCAGAGCTCTTAGCTGTCATGTTCTTGGACTGCAGCCGGATCTTGTCGAGGAGGAAGAAGAAGAAGGCCTATACACATGCAGAAGACTCCATTCAGAGACCAAAGGCGAGTGGCTGGGCGAGGCTCTTCGGATGGTGCTGTGGGAATCAGCCCTATTTGAGATGCAAATTCCTCAAAGAGCTGAAAGAGCCGGAGAAACAGGTGTCCAAGGAAGTGTGCTGCTGCGTGGGTGAGGGAGGGAGGGCGGGTGGGTATGAGGGCGCTGAATGATAACACAGGGTGTATTGAAGTCCTCCTGCTTGTTCAGACCAACCAAGCGTGGCACTTCTCTTGTCTCCTCGTCTTTGTTTCATATTAAATGAAGGCAAAAGAAGTGGCATTTCATGTCATAGTAAAATGGAAAAACATGACAGATTTGCATAAGCTAAGAGTTTAACTTTTTATTGATTTCAATGCAATTTGGCATAAAACAGCTCGATGTGAAAAGTTGATTTAAAATCAAATACGCAAACAGATCCATAATAAAGTCCTATATACCGAGGAACACAGCAGGATGCGTTGCACATTTACAAGCCCGAGGCTTAAATAATGTTCTTTAATGTTTGTAAGTGCAATGATTAGGAATAAGACATCCCTGATTGATACTTTTGATAGATACTGAAACAGAAAAATCAACATACAGTATTTTAGAAGCCAAACCACATTCTGTATCTCCTGTATCCTACAGAAACCTGGAAAACTAGTCCTTTGAATCCCTGGATGAAGCTCAGCGGCACCAGCTACACGGCAGTATCTATACTGTCATGTAGCTCCTTGTAGAACTTAAACTGCTGGACCGCATGTTGGTTCAATGTAATATGTGTTCTTGCTACAGATTAGTACATCTTTTATCTAAATATGAAAAGCTTCAGAAGACATGGTAGATAAACAGTAGTTCCTAAAATAAACCCGTAGCATATACTTCAAAATCAGCATATACCCACAACGATTTTCTGTTATAAACAGCAAATAATCCAAAGCGCAGTTACACATGTAACTGCTAATTAAGGAATTTCCTGGACTGGGATCTAAATGCTGATTGTTTCTGAATTCATCAAGAGTTTTTCTTCATTGAAACATCTCAGATACAATTAGTATCAACACATACTGTTTGGTTATTATCTCAGCTTTATGGCTCCCATGACTTTTAATATCTTTTGTCGCTCAATTTTCTTTACACACAAATGTAGGGAAAATAATGTACGGTCAAACATTTCAAATAGCAAAGAGACAAAGTGTTTCAGTTCATTTTTAGCTTGATTGTAAAAAAACAAAAACAGCATTGTATCAGCGTTCTTCAAAATGGCATTTTATCATTCCTCATTCAAAACTACAAATATAAAACTGATCCTCTCCAAATGCCTGTACTGTATCACAGTATGATTGAAAAGCTTGGACAAAATATATCGTAAAAATATGCGTTACAAATCTTTGGCTTAGTGGCACAAAAATGTTCCTTCTCACTTCTTCCTTCATTGTGTCAGTGTTTTGCTCTCACAAGCACGACTGCAGCTGTGAGACGATCTCAGGGCGCCCCCAAGTGTTCAACAGCAGCAGAGACAAACTGCTGGAAGCAGCACAACAGGCACAAGCGACCGTGCTTAACACACTGATAAACTGCGTGTCTTAGTGCGAGTCTATCAAAGCAGGAACAATACGAATCTCTGCACTGTCAACGTAGTGACTAACATATAGGCAAAGAGGAAGACTATAAAAGGTAAAGTGCTCTAGAATAGACCTCATCAAGACAAAAGTCAGACTTCATTTATGACAAAAGGAAAGAATCTAAAGAGGTAATTAGCAGCAGTAGCTGTTTACAGTGAGTTAGTAAGTGTATATCCCCACAAGTTCAGTCATTTATGACTTCCATATACTTTGATGCAAAAATCTCCACAACTGTAGTTAAAGAGTAAATAGAAACCTGCATACACGAAATGACACCAAAGAATGTGTTGAGTATTACAGTGGCTGCTCAGTAATCTGAGCAATGGCATTTTTTGCCAGCTTTGATAATGCGATTACTGTTTTTCTTGATAGCAAAAACAGCCATTTTTACTTAAAAACCTGCCAACCTCCGTCATGGAAAGGTTTGTCTTTCACTGTGACGTGAGGACTGTGATTGGAACCTGTGATGAGTAAGTTAGTAAAGGCTGTATAGAAAGGTTTGTGTTAGTAAACGGGTGACACTTAACCTGCTTACAGGTACGTGTCATGCTCTGCACTGCTCAGACTCTCTTTGGACTCTTGTATAGTCATGTGTTTGAGGAGAGGTGAGGGGTCACTGGGAGGAAGGTAAGGATTAACAGTCTCCTGTGGCGCTATGATTGTTTTCTGTTTCTCCGGTTTAGCCTTTCCATTCTCCTTGACGCCCTCTGCTCTCTTCCCGTCTGTCTCGGGTGCCAAGGGAGAGTCCACGATGATGGTGGGCCTCTGTCTCAGGTCCTGTCGACTGGGCGGCTCGGCGGCCATGATGGCCTTAGCGCCGTGCATCCTGGGAGGGGACTTGCAGTGTAGATCTCCGTGAGTCTCCTTCCAGCACCGCAGCTGAGCGTGGTGTTCCTTTTCAATGTCTTTCTCAGACACCACTATCTCAATAATCTGAAACGTACGGGGAGAATGAGAGTGCATCTCATGAGAGTAATGCCTGGGTTTAGAGGTTTAAAGTATTCCCCCTCATTATAGTTTAACATGGCTGTTGTTACACAACCACAGGAGGGCAAAGTCAAAGAGAAAGACAGCGTTTGCAGTCGGTACTGGGTCAAAACAATAAAGACTACAACCATGACAGAGTACCGTACCTCGTGCACCAGGAAGGCTTCTTGCATGTACTGTGGCTGGATGGCTCGGAGCAGCTCCATTGTTTCATAGAGACCTTGACAGGCCTTCAGTTTCTCTTGGGATCCCAACATGGATCTTAGGAGAACCAGGCCCACTCGAAAGATGATTTTCACTCCTGAGAAGAGCTTCACATCAGATTACACTTATATCTTAATAGAGGGACCATCTGAGAGCCGCACACAACTGCTGTAGACCGATTCATTTAGATGGACACTTAGATGGATCAACTGTGGTGTTGGGTGCAACGATCTTGCGGTGTGGTGAACTATTTCATATATATTGTGGTAGTCAATATCACAAACTTAAACAAGAGGAGACTTCATGTATTCAACGTTTGCCTCGCTGCTTTAAAAAGAGAATCAGGCTCTGTTTTTTACAGGTAAATTTAAACAAAAGGATAATATGCATATGACAGGGCCTGGAGGAAAATTAAATACGGTTATTGTGTATTTAACTTTGGTGTTTTTCCTCTAAAACGATCATTCATCATACAACCAAACTGAGCTGCCGTCTAAGCAATAATTTCATTTAGCAATCTCTGTCACGGTGACTTGTGAGATCAGGGGAAAACACTTTGATATGATGTTTTTTTTTCATGCGCCGTAAAATAACACATCAGTAATTGTTTTATGAGTGTACTATCTCACCCTCACAAAGGAACATGTCCCAGACGCGAAGCACCGAGGCCCACGGCAGAGTCCGAGAGAAGGCGCACATGAACCACTCGGTCATGTACAGGATGGGCTCCAGCTTGTGCTTCTTCAGGTGACGGTGGGCCGCAGGAGACACCCGCCGCAGCAGAGCGTACAGGATCTCCCCGTCCAGCTGGATCGCCTCCTGTGGAGACAGCATGGAAGAGCAGTCAGTGGAGGGAGGGAGACAGAGAGACACCTTTCTCTTTGCTTAATCTCATTTTCTGATTATCTCATCCATGTTATTAAGTCGCTAGCATATCAGTGTCAAGTTGGAGACACGCTGACCTGAGAAATCTAACACCCCCACCAGCAACATATACAACGTAATGACTCTAAAATCTGAAGTTAACCGACTGTTTTATCTTTATAACTTCCGTTTGGCTGGTTAAACAGTCGGTGCTTTCAATCATTTTGAACACTGGGGCAGAATCTCAGAATTTTTGCTTACAACAGACAATAGGTTCTTTTTTTTACCACTATTTATAGGGTTCAGATAATAATTGACATGCTGAACACTGTTAATATGTAATCCTGTTCCAGGTTGTACTCAGAAGTACTTCTTATGATATCAAAGTCCTCTTTTCAAAATGATGCGACAGTGTGTCCGTCTGGACCCTTACCAGCCCTGTACTGTAGTATCCAGGAAGGTATTTCTCACAAATCTGGACAAGAACCCAGAATGCATCCTATGACAAAGAAAAGGAAACAAGAGTAGGCTTTTATTATGGCCAAATGTGAAATAAAACAAAACAAACATAGTGACTATTATGTGTGTGTAACATTTATACAGGGAAGTATTGTTTAAGGTATCATTCTTTAAGCTCTTTGCTCCGCTATTCCTCTTAACCGTATCATTAGGGCAGCGAGTACCCGGTATTAACCGTCATTATGTATTAGAGAAAAAAGACTTGTGGAAAGGTTGAATGTGTGTTTACCTCTGCTGGCATATGCATCAGGAGTACAGCAGCGATGGGAGCCTGAGCCTGACAGTAACCCTCTTCAGGGCGATGCAGAGTATAAGCCTTCAACACGCGGAGCAGGTCTTGCTGCCTGAACACACGAACACATGTAAAATTATATTCAGAAACTATGTTCGGCCACATTAACGCAACAATGGGCCCCTGAGACAGGCCTTTGGATGGCAGTGCTTACCCGTGACCTCCTCTCGCTGCAAACATTTCATGGAAGGGGAACTGTCGATGGAGGTCCCTCTCAATAATATCTACCCATTTAGGGTCTCCTGGCTGATTGTCCAGTACCTAAAAACACATCATTTCATCAGCTTTTGCATGATTATACTTTACAATTTTGAGCCACTTTTTAATAGCAAGGCAGTCAATCGTGGAACTCAAAGACTCAGTGAAGTTTTAAGACTTGAGAGAGTCCAGCCCCTCTCCAGGAGTTTGGGTAAAAGGATTTTTATTTTAAGTCGAATAACTTGATGTCAGCAGGGATCACAAACATACGACTGACCTGGAATTTGCCCTGGTTTTGCTCCCGCCTCCCTTTGCCCCCAGTGAGGTAGAGCCAGGCCCGGCCACGCAGGGATGGAGGGATCCCCTTCTGACAGCGCTCCTTCACCTGTTATTTAACACATGCATAGTTACTCAAGAGCCTGCAGAAAGCAAGAGAAAGAAAGTAGAGGGGAAAGGACCACAGACATTGGAAGACAGTACAACATGCAACTGATCAAAGATTACATTTAAAAAAACTCATGATAATAGAGTGATTAAAAGGTTCTCCAGCTAAGTTTCTGACATGAATTCATATTGTTACGTCCATATAAAAACTGCCGCCACAAGAACCATGTCCACGGATGAACTTTACAAAGAAAGAGAGACGTGAAGATTCAGTCAGATTTAATTCACAGCTCATGAAGCACACCTTCTTGTGTTTTTTGGCCATCCACTTGTCCCAGCTGTTGAGCATCTCCAGCCATTTTGCCTCCCGTTGCCTCAGCACCTCAGTGGGGATTTCTTCAGCACTGTGGAGATGGGGGACAATGTCACAGAGAGAAGCAAACATATTCTTTTTATACACAGACAATAGCTGTGTCACTTCCCTGTCTTGAGAGGGGGCGGGAACAGTGGCTCACCTCTTCCTTGTCCACACAGGAAACCTAACCTCAGACAAAACGGTTGAACATTTGCCATCGGCAGCGAAGGACAAGGAAAACAGGAAGCCACGGGAGAACTTTCCCCTAGTTCAGTTCCCTACAACCTCCTTCACAAAACCACATCAATGTCTCACTTCACTACAGTCTTATCGAACATCGGAGCCGTCATATTGTTATGCACACACTTTCCCGTCCTGATCTGTCAAACAAACACATTTAAGAGCTGACTGACATGCTTTTGCATAAAAAAAAAAAAAAGCTAAAGAGAGTTCACAAGTCGTGCATCACTAATCTCTATTAGATACAACCGTGACCTGGCTGATCTAATGAGTCTAAAGAACTACGATTAGGACAGTTTTCTGTATGCCTTTAAATTAGAACACAACCACCAAATAAATGTCTTAGCTGAGCCTGAGCTGCCTGGTTTGCTCAGTGTCACCATTTTGTCAAAATCAACACAGATAAAGAGTACAGACGAGGACATCGTGTAGGTCCAAATGAGTCCTACGTTTTGGCAGGCCCATTTGGTACCCAAAAAACAATTACTGGAAGCCAGTGAAGAGAGATCAGCACGCACACGTAATGTGGTCTCTCTGTTCGGTGCCAGAAGGAAGAGGAGACAGGACGTAGGAACAAAGACTACAGACTCATTCATATGGAATTATACTGGTCTATGTTAGTGGTTCCCAATCTGGGGGCTCACAAGTTTATTCACAACATTGGGAGTTGGAAAATAAAGATTTTTATCTAACCTGTGACATACATTTGCTTTAAAGAAATTCAGTTAAAAATGGGGTTAACAAACCAATTATTTACTTGAATAATCTATCTTTTGTTTTCCTTCCTGGAGTGTCACATTCTCCCAACAGTTACCTGATGACTTAGCCTCATGGAGGAGGTTTCAGGACAGCAAAAGACAGAGAGAGAGAGAGAGACAGACAGAGACAGAATGCATTTTTATTCACCTTTACCTGTCTTCACTTAGGTGCAAGAAGGAAACGAGTCAGTCTGTGGATACATCAACGAACACAAGAACACGTATGAAGCTCCACTTACGACTGCCCGCGGTGCTGCTGGGCCCCTCCTGTGAACCCGTACTTGTCCACCTGTGTCTCTGTCTCTGGGTCGGATCCTCTCCCATCATCTGTCAGCTTCTCTTTGTGGTCGCGCGAGGCAAGTCCATTGCCATGCCCAATTCTTGCCATTTAATCAACACTTACCTCAGCAGTGTGTTCACATAACTCACTCTACCGACCACTCTTGGAAGCTCAGCTGACACTTTAAAGCTCCCCATTAAGACGCCCTCCTGTCACAGCTAGCTATGGCTGCTAGGAAGATGTAGCTTCCTTAGCTGCTAGCTCGCTATTGCTAAACAAATCCACTTTGTGTTAAGATGGCGTGAGCTGGTTTCACGATACACCTGTTCACATAGTCAATGTCCAGGTCAGACAGAAATACAATTAGTCGAGAGCAAATGCAGCTGTGTCGATAAACTCGTAAATCAGTGCAGTGTCGGCTCGCTAGCTCTGAAGCTAACATGCTAGCATCACAGAGCTGTCAGCTGATGTTGAACAGAATCTGTGCTGTCAGCAGGTTAGCTGGTGGCTACAGGAAGAGGAGCTGGAACAGACGAGTAAACACAACATTCATCCATGGGGTCCTTTAACTCTTCACTGCCATCTACTGCTGAAAACCACACATTCAGGCTTAACTCCTGTTATTAAATAGCTTTTTGTGGTCTAACTTATATGCCCTTTGATAGGGTTTTAAATGGTGGATGTCAGAGTAATTTGGCTTTAACCACTATTTTTCTTCACTTAATTTTGTGATTTTACGTTTGAGGTACTAATAGTCTAATAATATCATGCAGCAGTATCTGTCCTCCCGAGAAAAATAACTAAATCTTATGTTAATTAGGTCCATTTAAAGGTAGCACTGACATCTAATAAGATGAAATGAAGAGCATGATCAGTGAAAATAGCCTTTAATATACACAAGCAGACAGTTACATTAAGTATTATATATATTCTATTTTTACGAGTACATAGTTCCGCTTTGCTTTTAGCTGTTGTGTCTATGTCATTGTGTTTTGAGATTAAAGAAAACCAGAATTCCTTGTATGCACACTTGCTTGGCCAATAAAGCCGACTCTGATATTTACTTTAATGAATAATTCAAAATACTTCTGCAGGACTTTGTTTTAGGCTGTGGCGCTCGTGGTAATAATGTGTTAATAGTCCTGCATTCATAATTTGATTTATTAATTTATAATTTAAAGAAATGGAAATACTAACTCATGTAGAGTACAGGTACTTCAAAATGATGCTTGAGTAAATGTGCTTTGCTACGCTACAAGTGGCCGCTCTGCAAACCCGTTTTAATCCATTTTCTAATAAGCCAGGTATAAGTGCACAGACGTTTGTGGGCATTTGCACACTTCGTCATTGGTGCTTCATTAAAGCCGTCAATCACTTTGCAAGATTGGATGAGTCTCTTATGAACAGCACATCTGTTCCTGAACATGAAACACGGAACGGCGTCATGAAAATAGTCAAGCAAATTTAGTATAAATACTAGATTCTTTATTTAAATATTGTACATATTTCAAAACATATTTACATAAATTAGACCTGCATTGTTACACTGTAGACATAGGTGTTTCTCTCATACACACAAACATCGCTTGCTGAAAAGAGGACAATCATACCATACGGACTGCAGAAGCACCTTTGAGCACAACTTCACAGGAGAGAAAGACTGGGGCAGACTTTCATTTACATCAAACACAAGGGCAACATAACAGAGACATCGCAAGCTTGAAACGACAGGGAAGGCCTCTTGATTACAGGTCTAGCTATTTGTTAAGGCTGAAACTGTGCTCACCCCAATACTGTTAGTTCACACCACTCCTTCTGCATATGGGTTACATCTCTGTCAAGTATAGGGCTATCTTTGAAGTAAATACAAGTTCACAACCTTTATACACCATTTATAAACCACCAAGACAAGAACGGACAAAAACTGTGTGAACATAACTTAAATGGTGGCCGTAGCTGAGACAAACCATGCAAAATTAACAGTGCAGGCAGTAAGACGGATAATATTTCATTAATAATAATAATAATGTCCTTTATGTGTATATATGGCTTTCCTTCTTTGGTTTCATAAACCTGTCTTATACTTTGCAACCAGTCACGTATAACTTAAACCCCACAATATAATACAGCTTTTTCACTGATAAAACAAACTTTAGGCATAGAAAAGAGATTTGAATGCCCCTCTGAACATTTCCACCCACACCTCTGGCCATCACGCAAGATTCAGAGCACAAGGAATTTACAGTATTGCTGTATGATATTTGTAACAACAAAGCGTTGTGTATGACATACACCAAGAAAATGCATCTTTGGTGCACCTGCTTTTAAACTGTAAAGACATTGTCCAAACCACTCGGGTGAGCAGACTATCGTGAGCAGAACAGTATTATCAGTTGATAAATGTTGTTTGACGCATCACACAAATTTACATACACACACACACACACACACACACACAATCATTGTGACCATGTTCATATGAATCATGTCAATTCATGTACAGACATCTGGATTACAAAAGAGAAGCAGCAAACACAATTAAAGGGAAATAAGGAACAGAAAAATAATAAAAACATTCAGACACGCGCGTACACAAACCTGATTCTCGTTAAGATAGCTCGATCGGTCATCGATCACACATAAGTCATGTCAGCATTTACACTCTTACTTTAAAAACTAAATAACATTAAAAAAATACATCTTTTCCTTTAAACTCATGCCTGACCCATCATTGCAATTGTAAGCATTCCCAGATGCTAGCTTTAGCTTTGTGTGGCGAAACATATCGACATTAAAATACACAGCACATTCCAATAACGACTTCTCACATGAATACCTCACTCGCACACACACTTCACCATCCTTCCTACCACACAACTGTTGCAGCAATCAATCTCTCTTCTTGTTCATTTCAGCGAGTGGAAGTGTAGGATTGAGAAAACTCACTTCAAGATTAACATCTATACAAGAAAAAATGTTTATGAATGCCTGTGTACATCATCCACTATAGTAACGAAATAGCTTTAATCAACTGAAACAAAGACAACAGAAAGGCCAGAACCAGGCCCTAAAAAAAAAACACAAAAATATTTACAGCCAAGTGACAAAAAAACAAAAAAAAAACAAGCATTATGGTTTCCCTTTGCAAGTTTCTTTGATCGGAGAAATTACTAGTGGCTCTTCCATCGTTCACATTCCCAAAACCGAGACACTGAAACCCAACTTTTAAATCCTATTCTCTAAGAACTCCCTTCCATTACTAGCTTCATCTTCCTCAGCCCATCTCGATGCTTTGTTGAAACACATTTACAACGAGGAACAGTGTAACAACTGGAACAACAGCTAGCCGGGTTCAGTACTCAACTCTATCACTATTCTCCCAAGAATTCAAATCCTTCACCTACTCCTGTTATTTTTCACTTTTTTACATCAGGGCGACCAGGTTTTAAAGCCCCGTCCTTGACCGTCTCTCAGTCACATCACCTAAAAAGTGTTTATGCCCCACAATGAGACTGAAAGGCACGGCTCAGCCCGTCGTACTCTGCTCCTCCTGCGCCATGGTCAACATGAAATGTCCGAGCTGCCTGCTTCTCCTCAACCGTTCAAGCACCAAAACAAAAACAGTGGAAGAAAACAAAAATGTACACAGATGGACGTCGGCCCCCGCAGCGAGGAGTGTGTCGTGTTGTTGGGCCTCCCCCCTGTCAGCCCACGGGATGCAGTGCATTTTTGGGAGGGCTGCAGGTGGAAGACTCAGGCAGACAGGAAGAGAGGATCCGCCCCAGAGAAGCGTGCACGCGCACACACACACACACACACACACACACACACACACACACACACACACTTTCAGTCTGTATATTCAGCCACAATGGACAGCAGCACCGTGATATCATCTGGCTTCCCTCCTGCACAACAAGACAAAAAAAACGTGTGAGGATCTGTGGTGTGAATGCAGCCAAAAAATAACCCTAAACATGTGTAATCGATGTCTAAATATCGTAAACAGTATGCTTTTTTTTTTAAAAACATCTGACAATTTTAAGGACTCTTCTTCATTTACAATCATATACAAAAATGACAGTCTATCGTACATTTTAGAATAACATCCCCACTTCTAATATGTGTACTACCAAAGACACAGCATCTGAAGCACAGTGTACTTACCCCTTACATTCAGACCATTGTCACAGGCAAACTGTGCAAAAGGAGACATATAATTGGGGTCGTAGGCAAGATCGTGAGCTTGCTTTGCAATACTCTGTGCAGTCTGCAGGATGCTGTCATAGTTGGAAGTCTGAAGAGATCAAAAGAGAAAAATATTAAATTTGAAAAGACATAAAATATGTCGACACATACTGGATGCTGTATGTGTGAATGCTTGAATAAACTGATGTTCCAGAAGAGACACCTTGAGTTTTTTGAGCTCCTGGAGTATCATGTAGTCCGGCATGTTGTCAAACAGGCCGTCGGTCGCCGTCAGGATGATGTCACCGAGCTGCACGTCGAAGGAGGAGCTGTCAGCTGCTTCAGGGCTGGAGGGAAAACGGACAGGCACGGAAAGATCAGTCACAAGTGTAATAGGAGCATGCGGCACGTGAGCTGCTGCCAAGAATGTCCAACATGGAATTAAAAGCAAGTCAGAGGTCACTCTGCCAACACGTTTAAAATCGGACATCTGACTCGGAAGCAGACTGCCCGGTGTGTCCTTGCAGGAGGTCCTGTTGCTTGCTGGCACCTTACCCAAGACTATAAACTGAGAGCCTTTCACCGTATGTTCATGCTTCGCCTTGAGGATTTTTTTATTTTATTTTAAGGTGGCACTGCATGGAGCAACGAATGTACCTCAAAGGAACGTCTCCCCGTTGAACAGGATTAAACCAGTGTGGAGTGGGGGGGGGGGGGTCATTTGAAAACAGGACCGTGAGACTTGCCTAAAGGTTTATCCCTTGTTAATGCTGCTACTCTCAGAATCATGTTGCGACACCTTCAGTATCTGAGTAACTTAAAAAAAAACAGACTGTAATGTAATTCCAAAATATTCCCCCATTTAAGTAATACTTTTAGACCAAAACACACACGATGCACATGTGCATCGTGTGTGTTTTGGTCTAAAAAACTTAAATGGGGGAATATTTTGGAATTACATTACAGTCATTTAGCAGACACTTTTATCCAAAGCGACTTACAATTCAGCAATTTTGGGGTTAAGTGTCTTGCTCAAGGACACATCAACATGCGGCTAGCAGAGCCGGAGCCGGGAATTGAACCGCCGACCCTCTGACTGAAAGACGGCCCTGCTATCCACTTAGCCACAGTCTCCCACATGACAGGAATGACATAAGTGTAGCATTTTATCAGGCTGTGATGATAAAAGATGGATGGCATGTTTACTAATAAAATCACTCAAATAAACCAAAACAAAAACTATAAACGGGGTATGAGGGGATTTTCCATGCTGGCCATATAAGAACATATTATCAAGTAGTTAAGGCGGCTATGCGGAGGCGGTGCTTAGTTTGGCCATCAGACACCAAAGAAAGTATTGTTTGTCCTGCAAACACCGTCTGAAAGTTCCAACTGCAACTATGCTGCCCACATGAGAGGACAAGGCATGTTTTAACAAATCCAGTTTTACTAAATATGAAAGTGATCACACTTGTCTTTTAAACATTTTCTTTGCAAAATGGCATGTATAAAGATTCCTGTGTAGCGTCTTGTAAAGCTACCAGCAATGAATCATTGTATTCCTATACATCACTGACCTGTCACTGAGCACCACCCCTTCAGATCCAGGTGGAGCGATGGACAGCTGGAAGGGCGTGTTGAAATAGTGCTGCTGCTCGTCTGAGCGATGAACCACCTCTCCTTCCCGAACCACCAGGAAGCCCGAGTCGCCGAGGTTGCACGTGTGTAGCCGGTGACTCCGTCGATCCAGAGCCAGGATACAGGCTGTGCTGCTCCCTACAGGGAGGAGTGCAAAGCAAGAGTAAGGTTATGGATATTTATTTTCCAGTTAGGACAGAAAAGAAGCACAGAATGTGTGTTTCTAGAGGGGTAGAATGCTGCTAAATCAGTATATCACTAAATCTGTGTGCACCCTCCTCATGAATTTCGTGCTTCCATGGTGGTGGGTCGAGATTGTTTAAAAAAAATACCGGGGTCATGGGACGTGCCTGTCCCAGATCCCCAGTGACTGCAGTTTTAGGCGCCAACCATGAAGCAGTGAAGGTCAGGAGCAGACCTCGGAACAGCTTCCCAAAATAAAAGCAGGCCATTTGATAAACAGTGTGACAAGAGAGGAGGAGGTTAACATTTAGCGCATGTGCTCGCTGTAACTCAGAGATATGGAGTCTCAGAAGAAATGTGACCTTGGTCACATGTTTGTCATGTGGACGGTTTTAAACGCTGTTCAACCGTCCTGCAGTGTCAGTTACAGAGGAATTATTGACCTTTCAGACGACTGGTATGTTTCAAAATGTTCAGGCCGGGTAAAAGGAAAACTGTTAATCCCCACAAGGTCCCAGAGTCTTAAGTTCCAAGCGGCAGCATTACAAAATACAGTCTAATTAATTAAGTAATTTTGTTATCTCACAGATATAACGACACTCAAGATGCTGGTGTAAGCCTAAATCAGTGATAACTAACAGCCCTCATACAAAATAATACACTGTGTGATGCTGAAATTCTGGTTGAAAGTATTTTCTTTTCTTTTTAATTTGTACATTCCTATCATGCACTTATCTGCCAGGGTGGCAAAATAAATATGCCAAGCAAGGCCACCCGAGTTTGACTCATCCTGCAGCTGCGTTTTGTTTTGTATTGCTCAGAGTATGGCTGGTCACATGGGAAGCATTACTCACTCCACCACTGACTGCGTGTGTGTGTGTGTGTGTATGTACACTAAGGTATCATCTGTGTGTACTCACCTAGCAGGGGTACTTTGTTCTGTAGAAGCTCATAGTAGCCAGAGGTGAGGATACCCACTGGGCTACTGGGAGTGAAGCGACCCTCCTTCACCAGTCGCTCACAGGTTCTCATTAATGTGGTGGAGAACTGGGATGGGTCGACACCGTAGTCCCGCCAGCCACCTACACCGTCTGCAACACCTGGTGAACAAAAAGGAGAAAACATTTTAATACAGCAGGCAGTCAATTAAAATGCTGCTCTCCATCGTCCAACATCCTCTAAAATCAGAGCTGTAGAACAAGGAGGAAAGTCTTATAACAATAATAAAAAGGCTATGAGATGTATTTTAAAAGCACACTTTTATAGTGCCTTATTATTTCTAGTCCATGTACATCACTGGTTAGCGAGCATCGGAGCATGAATCTCTACTAATTCCCTGTTCACTCATCCAACTGACTGACACACTTTAGTTTCATTTTCTCTATGAACTACAGGGGGAAGTTCCCTCAAATAAGAAACTAACAAAAAACACTCCTGAAATGTCCCTCTGCAGTATGAAGGACCAGCACCGATTACTGTTATCAAGCAAAAAGCCAAAAAAAAATGTAACTGTCACGATGACAACCTTTAGTCCACTTCCGAGGGGTTTACTACACATTTTACCACCTCGCCATTTCTGCTTGCCATGTGTAAGACGTGAGAACAAAGCAATTACTCCCAGCTAAGCTAGCAGGCTAGCGACGCTATTAGCAACATGGCTGCCTCCATGCTCAACCATTCTGACCTTTGCAAGACATTGTCGTGCAAAGTCTGCGACGTTGTAATAAAGGCTTTTCCCAGTCCTGTCCACCTTTAATTGTGCGTATCTATGTCTCCTATTTTCACGTGTTTAATATCTTGCGTTACCGCCGCGCAGTCTTCATGTGGAGCTCAACTAGGTGAAAGGTCGTCCTGGTGTTATAGAAACCCTTTTTATTGTCATATACATATATATACATATACACATAGTGTATATGTATTTTGTTTTGAGGTGTTTAACCTCAAAACAACCCACAAACGACGCGGCACCATCGCTGTGCATGCATATCATCACATGGTTGAAGAGGTATCGATCTTCTGAAAGCAATCACCCGGGTTCAAGTGAGCTAAATACGGCTTATATAACGGTGGCACGGGGTAAAAGTTGTGGCTCTGTTTTTTTTGGAGGGGGTGGGGGCTGTTGTGTTTTCATCCGAGGGGTCAGTACACGTGCAGCTCACTGAAGGTCACCAGAGCACAGAGGGGGTCCATCCACGCACGTGCAAGCCACTCACAGTTTATTTATGCCAAGAGAGCTTACCCAAAACATCGGCGTTCTTGTTGCGCGCAATGAAGCAGGCATCGTCTCCGTAGCACATCCCTTTCTTCAGGATCCCCTTTCGAAAGTCTTTGCCGAAGCCACAACTGGCGGTGATCAGGCTGTAGTCCCGACTGTCCGTCTGAGAGAGTCCGCCCAGGACAGCCCTGGCTACCAGTCTGCCATACGACAGTACGGATAACATCCCCTTCTAAGCAGCAAGCCCGGCTTGTTTTGAGCACGCACACGCTGTCTCCCCCCCCCTCTCTCTCTCTCTCTACCCACCCGGCCCCTGCCTGCTGCTAGTCGGCTATCTCCTCTGATAAATCCCCGGGCTGTCTTGTCTTTATCCGTCCGTTCGCTCCCGACTAGCCGGCTTCCGTGAAATAGTAACGTGGCCCCAGCAGTTTGCTAACTCGTCCGTCCGGACAGATTAAACGTTCAATTTATGTCTCAGGTGTACATTTCGAAAACGCAGTTCCTCCGCAAGGCTCTCTCCTCCCCGACATGTTTCCGCTGAAGTACCGGATAAGAGAGCTCGGGAGTACATACGGGTACTTTGACCGTTTACAACGTTGACGTCACGGTTCAGCGACATCATCCAATAACAGAGCAGCTTCTTCCGCACGTCCTGGTTCCCGTCGAGAGCGCAGCTACGCCACTGGGCCGATGTTAGATGTGCACTTGTTCTGAGTAACTGGACGGAACGGACGGTGTGAATAATGACGTCATTTTACAATTTAACATGGGCTCCAGAAAGCGTAAACCCACTAAAAAAAATACCTACATACCCTGGATGCCCATGTGATCCTGATGTTATTTGATCATACTCAACAATTGACAACTCTTTCTGCGGCATTTATTTGTTTCTGAAAAAAATGTCTACCCACCGAACCAAATCACACACTATCATATAAGATATTCGTTTGATAATGTAATAACTAATGTCACATCTTTTCCCCGCCACTCACTGGACCTCCCCTGAAACAGTTTGGAGCCTCACTTGTAAATGTTTGCCAAATGCTGCACCCGACCAGGGAGGTGCGCTCGTTTTGATATACAGCAAGTACATTAACTCCGTCAGTCATGTTGGAGGGGACAGACACAGATGCAGCAGGTTTTCTCATGTGCTCTTGTCTATTTTTCGATAAACACATTACAAGTTAACTTTAACTTTCTTAAAACAATAATTATTATTTTGTTCCTCTTTGATTACACAACTAATAATGCTTTAAGAATAAAATTAATTGCAATAATGGTTATTTCTCACCGTTGTTTATTTATTCCCAATCATAGTCCTTGTATGTTAAATATGTTGTTAGCGTGAGGGTCAATGCTACCTGTTAAATTGTAGAGGTGAGCTCCAAAATGGAGCAAATACTTTTCTCTGTGTCTATAAAAGTGGTGTATAAAATAAAGTAAAATAAGATAATCCTTTATTAGTCCCGGATTACAGCAGCATAGTGCAAACAAGAGACAGTAAAAAACAAGATCAAAACAAGTATTGTAAATAAGTAATAAACAGTAAATAATATTAACTAAGTAAAAAAGTAAAAATCCACAATAGTTAAAATATAACTAAAAATATTATATATACAGACAGATATGTTAAAGTAAAACACATCTGGAAATATTACATTTAGCTTTTATTGCCTTTTTTTTTGTTTACTTCATGGTGATCGTCGCATGGGCGTGACAGCAAACTGTGCCCACCTCTCGTCCCTGCACAGGGTACTTGCTGCACATAAAATCGAGCGCACCCCAGCTACATAATCCACCCTAGCCAGAGAGCACATGACGGAGCCGAGAGAGAGAAGACAATATCGCATTATCGCAGAATTACCATCGAAGCGCATAGACAAACCGCCAGTTCACGGTAGGAAATAATTCAGTTATACGCCATGTTGCTGTTAGATTTGTCTTTGTGGGAAATCGAGAGAACAAAGCGGCTCACTGTGTGATGAAGGGTTATGGTTCTGTTTATCTCAGCGACTGGACAGGATAATACTGAAATGCTTGGTGTGGCTATACTCACCGTTTTAATAATAAAAACAGGTCATCGCTTACTCGGTGGTTATGTCTGTTAAATAGATTTACATCATCTAGGCCTATTTCTTTTATAATTAAATAAATAACGAGGGAATAATGGTGTGAGTGCTCCGCTTGAATATCGTTGTAACATTCTGTTTTTTGGATTGAATACGTCTTGCTATATGGCCTATATAAGAATACACATGGTTATATAATAATAAATTGTCGCTCATTTGTATATGAAAATGCAGCACTGGGCTATTTTGCATGCCATCCTAAATAACAATGACAGGAATATTTGTTTTTTAGAATGCTTCATTATTGTTATGGTCATTACTTTGACACACTTTTCTCTCTAGGGCCAAGATGGGAAAGGTGGGTGAGATGATCCTAGTGTCCCTTCTTATTGTGTTTCTCCTAAACACTGACTCGACATGGGCTAAAAGAGGGAGCAGTGGCAGCAGTAAGAAAACCTCTACCGGCAACAGGGGTGGGACCCAGTCAAAGCCATCCTCTAAGCCAGCGAACTACCCTCGACAGCCACAGAGTCCCAATCGCAACCCCAACCCATATCCTCCTGGCGGAAGTTATCCAGGAGCAGGCAACACAAATCCCAAACAAAACCCACCGAGTTATCCAGCAGCTGGAGGTTACCCAAACCAGAATCCTGGTAGAGCCAATCCTGGAGGTTATCCAAACCAGAACCCAGCTGCCGGAGGCTATCCCAACCAATATCCAGGCAGAGCTGGCAACCCAGGAGGATATCCCAACCAGTACCCAGCTGGAGGTTACCCAGTCAGAGGGGGAAATACAGGACAGGGTGGTTACCCTGGTGGAGGGGCTGGTGGTTACCCTGGTGGAGGGGCTGGTGGTTACCCTGGTGGAGGGGCTGGTGGTTACCCTGGTGGAGGGGCTGGTGGTTACCCTGGTAGAGGGGCTGGTGGTTACCCTGGTGGAGGGGCTGGTGGTTACACCAACCAGAACCCAAATAATAAGATCCTCAGTCCCCGCTTTGGTGGAGGAGGCTATGGTGGTGGTGGAGGCTATGGTGGTGGTGGAGGCTATGGTGGTGGCGGCTATGGTGGTCAAGGGATGGGAGGGTCTCCTTTCTCTCGTTCTGTCCAGGGTATGGGTTACCAGCCCAGTTCTTCAGGTTTTGCCAAAAAAGCCATGATGGCGGCAGGTGTCGGTGCTGTGGCCGGGATGGCTGTTGGATATGGACTCGGGCGCTTCCCTCGGCCACACTTCAATTTCAACAACCCTCAAGAAGAGCAGTACTACAACAACTACATGTACAACAAGTATGGCACCAAATCCACAGACGAGAAAGACTACGGCCGTGATTATGTCTACAAACCTTCTCCACGGTCAGAGTCCTACGACAAGTTCATGGAGCGCTGTATGAACAAGACCACGCCTAAAAGTCAGGATGGAGGTGGCCAAGATGACGGCGACACCGTCAGCATCGAGGAGATTGGATACCCCGCCCTAATTCACCAAGTGAAGTCCCGACGCTGTGTCGAGGAGTTCATGGTGTACTCTGAGAGATTTCTGCAGGAACGAAAAGCCGAGGAACAAATCCATTCCAAGTCCAATCGCATCGGCTCTCTGAGCTACGGGGTGATTCAACTTTTCACTTCCATCCTCATGCTACTGTCCACCATGCTCCTTCTCCAGTGAGAGTAATTAGTCTTCCTTTTACCATAAAATCCCAAATGGATTTCCACTTCCTCCATTATATCTGCACGTCCAGACCACTGCTAAAGTATATTATCTCCATAGCAAGCTCTCTGGGTCTCATGTAATCCTCTATTACCGCCGCAGGTAACAAATGTTGATGTTAAAAAAGGAGTCAATTTTTGAGAGCCAGCTGTTATTTTAAAATGTTACAGATAGATCATCAGTTGTGTGTCGTACAAGCTGCACTAATCTCTTTCTGTTAACTCTTTCAATAATTTATTTAGCATCTCTGTTTCACTTTTTTATCTGCTCCACATTATAATGCACTGAATGCATAGAGAACAGATTCAGGGTACTTTAGTTCAGTTTTTGTGACAATTTATTGTGACGGTATGACTGATATTGTGTAAAATGAGAATGTGACATTTACGTCAAAAAACTAAAGAAAAACATTTAGTCACCCTTTGTAATCTGTGCCGAACAATTCAACAGACAGATTGGTTAAATATGCTAAATAAAGATACAATTGTCAGCAAATATAAAAGAACAATAATGTAGTTTGGCAATGAGAACAACTGGACCAACTGTTTTTTTTCTAAGGACCACTTACCAAAAGCAGAAGAAAATATGTTATAAATGAGAAAGCAGAAGAAATCTCCTATAGTCCACAGTGGGATTTGCCGCCGTTTTTCTCAACATGATGATCTGTGGTGATTGGCTCCGCATTGTTGTGTAATGACCAAGAACAATGGTTTACTATCCCACAATAAACAATTAAAAACGTATATGACCACAATCTAAATAAGACTGAAGGTGTCCTCAAAGTAAAGAACAGCTACATGATACTCACTCATTGTTACCTGTGAAATCCTGGATTGCATGTAATAGCCCTTGATAGTAAAGAGGCGTCACTGAGCATGTGTCCTTTGATGTGCTACCGTGCCTGCAGCTGTTGACAACAATAGGTGCATTTGTTGAAAATGGCGCCTGACGCTTTTGAATCTGTGCAGCACTGCTACATGTAGTTTGGTGAAAGCTGGGGTTTGATTGAGGTTTCGAACAGATGAGGTCCACGACAATTCAAGACTTTAACCCTAAATGCTGGCGTCCCAGAACTAATACTAAGCTTTTAATTGTACCTTTACTAATCACACATGGTATCTTCATGTCGTATCTATCATCAAGATTAACACTGGAACTGGAACTAGAAGCGCCAGTTTAAATCTGCCCGGGATCACTGGACTTGACAGAGTGTGTTGGTTCACATGTACATGAATAGTGCTGTAGCGGTTTGGAGATTTTAATTATTTTTCATGATACTCTGACTTTCAAGAATTTCCAGGCTTTTGTGGTTCATCTCAGCATCTTCCTCTCATCACCTGAATCTTCTCTTGACACAAGTCAGATGGTCGCAGGTCAGGTGTAAATAACTACGTCTGCTTATCACAAACTCTAGCCTCCCCTGGCTGTCATGGTGTGCTTCTCTGGAATGAAAATGTTGCAGTCCTTTTGTTTGTTTTTTGTGAAGTTATATCTGTACATTTTTAAGTTATCTGTAATTTGATTATTATACTGGTCCAGCTTGTTTTCTTCTACCTGATTGTTTGAATTACTTATTCCCCTCTGGGGTTTTTAATGTAAAGCACTTTGCTGTTTTTAAAATTGCTACATAAATTAAGTTTGCAGGCTTTTCAAGGGAGTTTCACCCAAGTAAAAAATATCTGAAACAAAACACGTCAGTCATCATTTCAGTCCGCTATTTTGACACTGGTGTATCTGTCTGTTGTTGGTAATTATTCATCACTGTCCAATTGTTGACAGTATATCTGGAAGTGATCATAAGCACTGTTTTATAGTGATTTATTTCTCTTTCTTCACATTTCACTTTTATTCTTCGGGTCTCCGGGTTCATTCGTTGTCATACTGCACCTTTCCCGTTCATTGTTGCTCCCTGTCCATTTGAAATGACAATTTTACATTTTCATACTATCTAGGCTGTAGAATATCTGTGAAGTGCACTTACCTCCCGTTGGGTGTAGATATTCTGTAACTGTGTCATCGAGCTCATTATGGGAGTATAGACATCTGTGTATATCTGACTTGTAGTTGTAAACGCGTTGGGTTACTAATATGGTTTGTCATGATGTTTATGTGTTAAATAAAATAACTAACACAATAAGAGTTTCTCTGCCTAAATGATGACATTTCACAAACACACATACTCTTGTTCACACTCTATTTTAAACTAATTTAAAAATATAGAATAAAGACAACCAGTAAAGTTACTTGCAGGTCAACTCTCGGCCACCAATTGTTTTGACAACAAGCATATTATGCAGTTTCTGACAGGACATTTCTGAATTAGAAAACCTTTCTTTAGAGTTTAGAATATATTTCACCAAAGCTTCTTCTTTTTTTCAACAGCATTCCATAGATTTTGTTGAATAGAAAAAAGTCAAAACTGCCACAATTAATCGTTAGTTAGAAAAGTGAATGTAATTAATCCTCCAATTTGATGGTTTCAGTTTCAAATAGGAGAATTGGCTGCTTTTACTTACGATACAGGAAATTGAATATTTTGGGGTTTGGATTGTTGCTCAAACAGAACAAGACATTTCAAGAAGTAAAAAGAAATTCACTTTTATTTCCATTTTTCTAATGTTTTGTAGACCAAGTTATTAAAAGGCAGATTGATTGATTCAGAAAATAATCGTTAGTTGCAGTCCAATATTCAAAACATGTTTATATTGATACAAACATTTTTGTTGGTACCCAGCTCAAGTTCTTTATTGCTTTGAAATAGCTTGATGTGTACATTTTAATTGTAGAATGAGGTTGCTAAAGTCCCAGAAAACAATATTGTACCCTGCACTCAGAGTAATCTTACCATAATTACCGTCACTCTATATTAAACAATAAAGGACAGGAAGCATCATTTGTTCAAAGCAGCTTTTATTTCATTTGATCTGATGATTGATTGTTTTCCCATGTGATCAGATGTGTTAAAATTAAATCAAGGCAGCTATAAGGAAAGACACCACATGTCCAAGGGTGAGGAAGATGTTGGTCATGGGAGCCGGGGCATCCGCCTTAACAAAGGCTCTCCAGACATACTGGTTGGGAAATCTTTGGCTTTCATTGTGGTAAAGCCGTTGATCTTGCTCAGAGGAGGCCTTCTTACGGCCGTGATGACTCCCAGACCCGTGCTTCGGCTTACCAAACAACCCCAGCCCATACCCGGTCCCTGTGCCCCCCAGCATCCCGGCTGCTGCTGCTCCAGCCCACTTCAGGCCCTGCTTGGAGAGGCCTCGGCCCTGAGAGGGAGGCACTTTGTCGCCATCACCTTTTCCTCGACCCTTGAAGATGCCTCCACGCTTACCGTCTGCACCTGGGCACAAAGCTGCCACGAGCAACAGCCAAACCCACAGTGAGAGCAGCCTCTGCTGGCCAGTCATTACTGGAGATCTTTACTCTGCAAACACACACACACACACACACACGTATTATAAAAAGCTTTGCATTTTTGCCACGCACGTTTATTCTTTTATTTGAGGGACAAAGAGAGACAGGTTTGTCAAGTCTGTTGGCTGTAGTTCAAACTGGCATTAAAGCTTTTGATTTCGCTCACTGCACAGCCAAAGTCACATGCTTACCAGCACTAACACAACAGACCTCCAGAACTATCCACATGCTCTGTCAACACTGGGATCAGCTGGGCATTATGTGTGTGATGCATATTTCTTTCTTTCGTGGTGCATTTGCTTACCCCGGCTCAGATACACAATGCACTTTTCCATATGTTGTTATAAAACATATTAAAGATGCGTGGATATGCAATGTGTTGTTGCAATGCATGTGGATGGAAATTATTTACAAATGTTAAATAACAAAGGTAAACTGTGCTGATAGCGTCTACTTTGGAATTGATAACATAAAAATAAAGAATATTAGTTAAACGCCTTTTTACCTTTCTGATCGGGCACACAGGTTGTGATGCTGGAGCGGCAGTCCTTGGTCAAACCACAACACGTATATTTCAGAAGAGCAGCATTTTGGTACCAGCATCATTTCCACACCAACATCCACTCAACAGCCCCCTCCCCAAAACAAACCCTGCTTTGCTATTGGCTCAAGATCAATAATACAGAACAGGTTGAATGATTTTGGCTGATGGCAGCATTTCACATACAGTTGCAACACCTAGTTTTCTCCCATTATTCACATAATGCAAAGGCTGGAGCAAAAACAAGTATATTATTGTCTGCATTGGCTAATTATTTACTATCACAGGTTTGTATGTTGTACTTCCTTTTGAATTAGATAAAAGCCTACATGTTTATGCCTACATGAAATGCTCAGCAGTGATTCACTTTAACTTGTGCCTCATTAACCTGAAGTGGCCTTTTGGCTGGAAGGATGGCCCATGGCACAAGAGACTAGAGCTGTTATTATTATAAGACAGTAAATCATTAATGTACATTTAACGGGAGATTCATTTGTACCATTGTTTTTTTTCCCTCTCTGCTATTTTCACCATAATATTTACAGTTACAACCATAATCTGAATATTGTCATTAGGCTCTGATTGGATAGGATTACCCAAATCTTACAGTGTGTTTCTGAACATCTCAATTAGAATAAGACAAATTCAACTGATAAAAAAGCGTATCCTTATTTACAATTTAAGAGATGGTTGAGTCATGGTATTGTTCCTTTGATGAGACAAATATGATACTAAATTTGGTTCTGTACTTTTTCTGTTATTCTTTGTGCATCAAGATGTTAAAGACATTTGATCCAGACAAACAAGTACCAGTGTGAAGAACAGTCTTCTGCTCATAAATGGAACTATTCATCATGCAGAAAAAAAACAAAGTTAACTGGTCACTTGAACGAGTACAGCGGCCAGTGACAGCTGGTGTTAAGAATTTCAATCCTGTTTTGCACGAAATATCAACGAAAAAGTTAGAGAGCCCAGAGGATAAAGAACAAGAGGGACGACTGTTCACAGAATCCAGACCGGTCAAAATGCTACAAATTGGGGGAAACACTTTCAGCCGAAAGAAGATATTTCTCCTTTGTGTCATGGGTATAGATAGAGGATCTGTTTAAGGGCACACTTTGGACAAGTGTCACTTTGTTCTGGATCCCTCGTACAATGTCTGAACATATTGAATATTCCATGTATGTCTGTAGCAAGTCCCATAGAAATGTGTTGTATTGCTGGTTTGCAGCTGTACAGTTACATAACATACATAGCTCTGTGTGTTATATAATAACAGAAGATAGTCAGTAGTTATCAGCGTGTGTGAAGGTATTTATTTATTTCAGCAGGTTTTGGGTCAACATGACAATGACCATGACCGCAACAATCTGAAGACCTTAGAAACATTTTCTTTACAGTTTAGTACAGTAACAAAGTATTCTCTTTCGCCCAAGTTTCAAAGTGGTCAACGCTAAAACCCTTGTTTGTGTTCAATGTGGTTTGCATCACATGCTTTTTAGATGATGGGCAAGCACTCATGCTCAGCTGGTTTGATCATGTGCAAAAACAAAATGGTCATGCAAAGAAACATTTCTTCTTCATGTGATTTGGTGAATTCTTCACATCTCTCTGCATGGAACAGTTCGACAGGAAAAGCAACAGTGTTCGCCAATTTCTATTAAAATGTAAAATGTGTTGCACAACACGTTTTCTTTCTTTTTCAAGATGGATGAGGTGATTTCAGGCCCAGATGCTTGCAGTTGGAAGCACTATATGCAGCATTACTGATCCACGTCCCTCTACAGAAACTAGATGACGTTCTCAAAGAGCTGCATGGAAGCCATTATGTTTTCATCCTGTTGAGAGCAGAAAGCATGATGCAAGAGAAATGGTGTTTTTTTGTGCACAAAAGATGCATGAACTCAGCGAATCATGTTTCAGTTCAGTTTGACGATTGGATTACCTTTTGGCAGGTTTCTATGAACTCATCAATAGTCACCACTCCATCTCTGTTTCGATCCATTTTCTGAAAAATGTCAGGCATGAAAAGGAGAGGTTTCATATTTAATCAGATATGAAATCTTACTAATATGAGGTACAAAAGTGTGTCATGAAATCAAAGTGATGAACTGTGGCTTTAGACGAGGTCTGGCCTTCAGATGGGTTTTGAATTTGAAAAGGGGCTTGGTGTCATTTTTCTTTTAAATTAGATTTTCTTTAAGCGAGAGAGACAAGAGTCTAAAACACGACAGTACTCGGGCACACCGACACACTGAGGTTGTGGTTTTGATACAGATGCAGAATCTGGATGTAATAAAACACAGTACATTTAGATGCCAGGGATTCAGCTGTGTGGTTAAGTGGTTGCAGAGATAAAATACCTGGAAGAATTTCTCCACATGCTCATAGGGAGAGTCGTCTCGTACACTGGGTAAGGTACACCTGCCCATCATATCATAAATGGACGTCATTATTGCCATCATTTCCTGCAGGAAACCAGAGAGACAATACAGAACAACTGCCACAGATTTTGGTACGCTTTCTCAAAACTGAGAACGGTTTATTGAATGTACCTCTTTGGTAATGTAGCCGTCTTTATTGATGTCGTACAGGTTGAACGCCCATCGAAGTTTCTCTGTAACGGAGCCTCTAAGCAACACAGACAATCCTATCACAAAGTCCTGAAAAAGAATACACAAGTTTCATTATTAGCTTTGCGTTTTGTGTTTTATAGCACAAAACATGCAGTCAGCGGTGAACTCACCTCGAACCGGATGGAGCCACTTCTGTCCATGTCAAACGCGTTGAACAAGAAATGCGCATACGTGGTTGCATCTGAGAACATATAGAACACATGTCAATAGACATGAAAAACTTGTACTCATTTTATACTGAAAGTCTTGACTTATTTTGCTTATCTCATTCATCCCAAACATTTAGCAAGATTTACAAAAAAAATAATAACAGACCGAGTCACGGTAGCCATCTTTTATATGCTTGTATGACACCAGTTTATTAGTTATATTCTGTACCTCCTTGAGGGAAGAACTGCGAGTAGATGGTCTTGAAAGTTTCCTCATCCACTAGCCCACTGGGACATTCCTATGAAGAGAAAAACACATTTACATCATTTAAGACAGGCATATCAGATTAGCTAAAATAATAATACAAATAGTAGTTATACAATAAGAATAACAGAGTATTAAAGTTAGCACTACTGATGTTCCATCATTGTGTGGTACTGTGTGCAGGTTTATGGCCACTAGAGGGCAAAAAAGAGCAGGAGAGCCAAAAGATTCATAAATGGCAAAGGGAAAATCTTTACTGGAGCCTTTAGTGCTCTTTCTTTATAAATCCTTAAAATGCAGTTACGTCAGAGTAGCATAGTAATGAAAAGCCTTATGGCACATGGGTGCACGCTAGTTAAAATCAAGGAAAAATGCAAGTAGTGCAAAGAAAAGAAAAAAAAGTTCTACAGCAGCACAACAAGAACAGAGAAGAAAGCAAGTCAGAGAACATCACATTTTGAAAAGTAAAACCTCTTAAAATCTTTTTCATCAGATTTCCCTTAACAGAGCAACCAAGAGTAAGGCACCCTGGGGAGATCTAATTGCAGTTTTTTTATAATTATTATTTTTTCATAATCTATTTAAGTTTAAAGCCTGCTTTGTGTCAATCAGCGTCAGCTCTTCTTCTTCTATTCTTTAATGGCACTTTGCAGTCACTAACTGTCAGTATGCATTAGCTGCCTTTGCAGTCGGCACAAATATGAAGGCCTATCACGTCAGTACCGCATTTGTGCATCGGCATCTTTGTGCATGTGTTAGAAGAACACAAAGATAAAAACAATTTCTCTAAAACATTGCTCTACAGCACCACTTGCAGTCAAAGACTGGACATGGTACCTTTAATCAGGACATATAAATCTAGATATCCATTATTTTTAATTGTTGGCAGAGAACAGTGATTCCCAACCTCTGTGTGAAGACCTCCCCAAGGGGTCAAAACATAAATCTGAATGGTCACAGAAAATACTAGGGCTGACTAACACGAAAACAATTTCATTGACGAATCGATTAGTTGATTTAATCGACAGATCTGTAAAACTGAGTTTCTCCACGAAAAATCACACAAAAGCGTCACTTTAAATATTGTGTTTACCAGAGTTGTGCTCACGAGTTTCTTGGAAATAACGACTTATCGACTTAAGAAATCGAAACAACCTATTAGTGGACTAGTTGGCTCAGTACCCTAGAAAATAGAGAAAAAAACCATCAACATCAATGACGATATTTCTGCTGAATACAATTGGACTTTCTTGTAATCTTTGCTTTTTCCCTTTGAATTACTGGATGATTTTACATCTTCAAGAATCTAAATCACAAGCGAATAAAACGGCTTAAGAAAGACAACCCGTAAACATATGCATACACACCACACACCACACACTGTGTGTTTGTTAGGAATGGTGGTAAGCAATTGTTAATTGTGCCAGAAAGTTGCCTTTATTCCTGTCATTTGGGATGAACTGTGCTGATTGTTTTCATACATTTTTGAAGCCTCTGTAAAGCGACTGAAGCTCCTTTCTGGTGAACTGCGTCTGGGCTTGGAGCTGATCGAGGCCCTCTGGTTGGTGACGCACCATTGAGAGTTCAAAGTCATTGTCACAGCTGTCTGTCAGTGAGAAACAAATAAAACAAGGATGGGATGGCAAAGAGGGGGAGGAAGAAAAGAGGACAGAAATAGAGGGAAGAAAAGAAAGAAAAAACAAAACAAAAAGGAAGAAGGAGGGAGTTGAAAATACTAGAAAATCAAATAGATGGGAGGCAAAAAATATATACAGCACACAACTCAAAATGCTCACCATCTTTACACAAACAAAACATACATTCGAAGACAAAAATGAAGAGTTTTAAGAGGGAAAGGTGAGACAAGGAAATGGGTGAGAGAGGGGGTAAGAAGAATTAACAGCATTAATTAAACATGATGAAAGAAGATGAGATCATGGGACATTTTTTTAATACAGAAGTTAGACAAATTATGAGTAACAAGGGATTGTTGCTCAGAGTGGTTCGAGGAAATAAGCCGATATACAGTATGGGTGGGTAAGAGCAGTATGGACACTTTGGCTTTGTCTGAAATAACTCATTCTCTGTTCCTTACATAATGAATAATCAACAGTTTGCTCTACAGCATGGAAGATTTGTGTAAAGTGTAAAGTCACATTTTCAGCAAAAGTAGTGTTCTAAACCTAATTCTTTGCTTAAAAAGTGGAAACAATAAGAAGAAGAAATAGTGGTAGGAAGAAATTAGGACGGTTGGAGGGAATAAAACAGACAGACAGTGTACTTCCTTTTGCGCCATTGTGGACATTTTTAGGTGACTATTGTATACAGAGAGCTTAAAGACACTTAAATTAAAATGATGAAAAGTAAAGAGTGATTTTAGACACTTTGACTCGCCATATTGTCACAGGTGTCACTAATTAACATTGATGAAGCTGCGCAGCAGTTTGCACAATGTCACACCTGAATTCAATGCAGCCATAATTCATCTTATCATCATTCAATACAAATTTAAAAAAATGAAGGGAAAGAAGTTCACAGAGATCACTGGAATGAAATGAAACTTAAAGCTAAAGCGTAGAGGAATACCACTGGAGGTACTCACCATCTTTATAAGAGCAACACCACAAATGGGAAGTTGAAAAAGACCAGACCAGGAAGAGATGGGGATGAAGGAATGAGAGGGGAAGAAGAGAGAACTGTTAACATATTTGGTTTGAAGTCGACAGATTACCAACATACTGTAGTGATCATGTTATTAAAGGATAGATTAAGGATATATATATTTATTGTTTTAAAACAACATTAACATGCCAATATGTGCACTGAAAGAGTTTTTGGTTGCTGCAAATGTTTATGTCCAGTATGAATAAAAGAAGCAATTACAGCAAACCAAAAGCTTTTTAGTATATACTGTATGTGAACGTTTTCTAAAATGTAAACTGTCTTTTAATATTTTACAGCCAGCTGGACAGCACTTATTCATAAATTAAGTATCACTTTTACGGTCAACATTATTGTTCTAATGCTACACAAAACACCAAAGACAAAATGTGAACATACATACATCTCTTTATGTCTTACCTTCGAGTGACAAGGGCTCCCAAACCCCAAACTGTTTGAGCACGACATAAAACATTCCAATAACAACAGCAATGGCAAATACTTCCATGCCATCCACTTCCATTGTTGCCTTGCATTAGATATCTCCTGTGCAGAAGCCTCTTTTAAAAACCTTAACGTTAACTTCCTCCTGCCACGTTTTAACAGGCATCAGCAGTTTTATTCACTTAAATGAAACCCCCAACTTAAACCACTGACCATTTAAGACGACACAGATTGTCCGCAGAACATCCTCTTTTAAGAAAACAAGTTCAAAGTCCACCATGAGTAAATTAATATCAAATTCATAGAGTGACAATCCCCCAAAATGATCCAAAGCTTTCTCCACTTGCAAACGATCCATCTCTGTGACTACGCGCTGGCATCTCACCTCCTGGCCAGTTCATTTTTAGGATCTCTCCCACAACTCCATCAACTCAGGGGCTCCACCCTCCACTCTCTCCATCTCCTCTCACTCCGTCCTGAGCTGTGTGCACGCGTGCGCGTCTCAGGTTGGTTACTGAAGGAATTTCTTTAACAACAGTCTCTGATTGACAATCTAAGCTGCCTTCATTTGCTCAGTCATTTCAAGGATGCAAAGCTGTAAAACCAAGCATTGATCCACATCCGCTGATGGCTGGGATATGAACCGCACTTAGAATGAAGGAGCCTGCCCTTCCCTGTGTGGCGCTGCTTGTGTCTACTATGTCGTTCAGCTACACGCGCAGTCAATAACTCAGGGCAGAAAGACACCGTGACCGCTGCAACTGTAAAAACGGTGTTCTGTTTATGAGATTGTAGTTAAGAATCGTGGCATTTAAGTGAATTATATCTGTGCTGCACACCTTCAGAGGTCAATTCATAGCTTCTGTGAAATGCTCTGCATAACACGCACGCAGAGTGTTGGCGGTCTAAAAAGTACTTTTTCACTTTTTGCTGTTAAAGAGCGAGCGAGTGTTTTTGTGATGATAGTGAGGACAGCGAGAGGGAAGAAGAATAGGAGTACAGTTCACGGCTGATGACTCTGCACAACATAATGGACTCGGTTAAAGTACAAAGAGGGGGTGGAGGGCAAATCAATTGTTGAGAGGTAAAATACTGGTCTTAGAAGAGGGAGAGAAAGCGGGCCAGAAATGCATTTTGATAGCCCTGGGAGGGTTTATGTAAATGGGCATAAAATGTGTCAGCATATGAAACAAAATGGTATATTGACGCTGTAGCATTAAGTTTGTTTTGTGTTTTCGGAGTGCTATCCCAGTTCAAGATGCAACGTTAACAGAGCACACAGCTCACTCAGAGTAAGTGCACCTGTCTTGCACTGGACATACAGTACTAAAATGGACTTCCAAAATAATATGCTTAACTTATAGCCTTATATATGAGTCAGGGTGTGAAATCAGAGGTGATGGTTCGCCCAGATAAAATGCTGCATGTAGTTACCCTTTGCAGTGTATCTGATGTGTGGGCTGATCCTACCTCACCGGACAGCAACACACTCAGCCATTACACAACATGCAAGATGTATGAGCTCATGTGGGAACTTGCCTGCCATAAAAATAATGCAGCATTATACTGTTTAATGCACCTTAAGTGCTGATCTATCCCTGTTCTTCTTTTAAATACAGACAAGAGTGAGGTGGCTTAAAGCATGCAGAGATGCAGACATTGCAGCAACCGGTCTAACCATCAGGTTTTAATGACTGCAGTGAGGGCAACATTACAGCTCAGAGCCTGGGCCCATCTATCACAAACCGTCATACCAGTTCTCGTCACACAATTAAACACCGTGGACTTCGCTCGCTCGCTCTCAGCCTTTTGCTTAGTGCACGCTTTTAGCTCTTTCATTGATTTTTATGCATTTTATTTTTGGCAAGAAATTACCTGTCTGGAAAGGCTTCATACACACCTCGCATTGTGCAAAGGGGGATTCCACCTGCCCTTTCATGTGAGTTTTGTTCAGGTTCCACTAAACTTAAACTTAAATGTGCATTGATAACACTGATTACCTGAGAAACTATACATTAAAATGGTATGGCAGCCATTCAAAATGACATTTTTATAGCAGTATTTCCATGATCTGTGGGTTACTCACAGATGGCCTCCCATTTTAACAGCCGATATGATTTGACAGAGAGCTCAAATGTTTTCACTCTCTATAATATGATATGACAGCTAGCTTCCTCTCCGGTGCAGTTATCAAAGAGTGCAGGAGGCCCAGCAGCAGCCACAATAAAAAATGTATTGTACATTTTGACCGGTGAAATATTCTGACGATTGTGTTTTTCCTCACCTTCCTAACTACAGAAACAATCGTGTATAAATGATGTAATGCATTGCATCATGGAACCAGACATCGATTTCATCACTAAACAGCAGTTCCACATTTTCCAGCATTATTTTTGAATGTTAGGAATATATTTGTGTTGGGTCGAGTGTGAGCGAGTGCAGACTATACCTTCTACTGTACAGGAGACACTCAGGAGCTATAATGTTCAGACACCACTAGAGGGAGATCAAGTTGTTATAAATTTGGTGAAGATCTGCTTGTTCGATTTTAACTAAGGATCCCGGTGGAAAATAAAATAGTAAGTGAGAATAATGATGAATTTGAGCTTATAGAGTGCTGACAAAAGTTTCAGTACATTCCTACTGCAAATATACTTAAAGGCCTCATAAATAAAAGACCATTTCCTTGCTAAAGTCCAAATTAGCAGTGGAGTTCATTGTTATATTCAAATTGTATGATTAATGTGATGGTTTGTCAGCCATCAGAGCATTTGTCCTGTTACTGTTTTCATCAACGTCCTGTCCGAGGCACATGGCCTTCCGTCTGTTGGCAGAAGCAGTAAATGACAACAGCTGGTGATTTCTGGAAACAGCAGAGGAGACATTTTGTCTGTTCATCACTATGTTTGTTACCCAGACTGATACAAGTATCAGAGGGGGAGAAAAAAAACATTTGATATATTAGTTGAAATAAGTGAATTATGAGATATTGCTCGGACAGATTGCAGAAATGAATATCTGTCCTGCCGGTCAAGTGCACGCACACACACAGTTTGCCTGCACAGAAAGGACAATGTCAATAATTTAGATAGAAAGGGGGCATGTAGGGGCAGTCAGTGGGCGACACTGTGCTCATCATCTGACTATAAAGCAAGGGATCTCTGTGTCTGTTCTTCACATAGCTCGTGAACAGCTCATCTGATCAACTTCAGACTTGTCAGGTGTATCGCATGCTACCGGGGGAGTGCTTTGCCATATTTGGTGCAATTTGGATTTGTGACACTTTCTTCAGGGCTCTGCAGTCTAGCATGTCGTCCGCAGCGGACGGACAGCAGTTATTTTTAGCTGCAGGATTGAGCCTGCTAAATACTGGATATCATTTCTAGGAGGTGAAGTGGTCAGACACAAAAAAACAACAACAACAGTTCTGTGTGTCTGTGAGAGAAAGAGAGAAAAGAGGAGCAGAGCGAGCATGAGATGTGGAGGAGATGATGCAGTGGATCAAACTTAATTCTTTGAAGCTGAATCGCGGTGAGCGGGAAAGCGGCAGTGGTCCATTCACTGATTGTTAGCTGCTGAAATTAAGAGGCGTTTGGTGAAGAGAGAGGGCTGAGCGGTAAACACTGAATAGAGGAAAAAAAGGGCGAGAACATACATAGATATATCCTGTAGATGGGGTCGATGCTTTAAAATGTATTTATTCTGTAGCGCAGGAGATTGAAGGCCTACCCCCACCTACTGCTTTATTCGAGTCCCACACAATTATGAACATTTTCAATAGACTGTATTGTTGTTGTTTGTTATCCTGGTGGTGTACCTGGCCCTTGTTGCGTGGTACTGGCGATAATCCACTTGACGAGACAACACTTCATCAGAGATTTACGGGTGAGCCGTGGTTTCTCCCACTTGGCGCCGTCTGTCTGTCCACTCGGGTTTGGATCTGTCCCATTGGCATCAGGCCGCAGGCCGCCATCCCCTGCCTTTCCATCCGCCTTTCCATCCGCCTGAGGGAGACAGAAAAGAAACTGTCCTCCGAGAGAGAAAAAGACAGAAGACAGACCTCATGGTGCTTCTGCACTTTTCCCCCACCAGAGGGTCCGCATGAACGCAGCATGGAAGAAGAAAGCAAGCCACTCTGCAGGGGAAACAAGACACACAACCCAGCTAACACATTTTTCCATGTCATAGCAACCAACCTTGTTCACCAAATTCCTTGCATGTATGTCCAAACTTACCAGAAGGCTATAGGTTCCTCATCTCCTTTCTGCTTTATTTGAGTCCATTGTGTAAATCATATTCACGATAAGTGTCAATAATAATTGATTATGTTCACCAACAGCCTCACAGAGGTGCAAGCGCGACTGTAGACTCGGTCTTGTCGTTGGTATCATTGATTAGGAAAGTTAATAATGTTCCTTTTGCAGAGCATCAAACCGCACATACCGACAAAAATGCAAATAAATACATCACCCCTCTCTCGTCATGTCCCCTCAGTTATCTTGGAGTCCATTGGGTCTCTCAAGACTATAACTAGGTGTAGAACTTAAAATCCACTGTCTGGTATCAAATGTAAGTTACGCAGAGCAGAAGCCCCTAAACAGTTTAATGTAAGGTCCTGAAACAGACATATTACATGTCTGAAAAGGCAGTGTCTCACACAGAACCTAATATAAGCACCATTTCCTCTAATATAACTTTACATTAAATCCTTATAGGTTGGACGAGTTACATATTTGTAATCATACGGTGGTATGACATAACAGTAGGTTTGGCAAGATAGATCTGCTTTGATAGCTTTCTATGGTGAAACGTGCTTCAGCAAAGCTCTTGTGACAGCTGGACCAGCAGCAGGAGTAGCTTACAGACATCCAACCAGCTTGCGAGTATGGATAATAAGATCCATACCTCCGTAATCAGTACTCAAAACGTTGAAAAAAAAGAAGAAGTGATTATCTTTATGTGGTTGCAGGGGTCTTGTAAATCCCCCAGACTCTTTGCACCTACATGATGCATTTGTGTCAAGCATACTTTAACATTGCAGTAAGGAAAGGATCCATTCATATACAGTTCTGTAAAGTGGTGCCTTTTGTGTGCATAATACAGATTTAAGAAATATCAAAAACGTTGAGAATGTGCTTCGTTTCCAGAAAAAGAGAGAAAAAAATCAAATATTCTTGTAACATGAGCACTTATGAGAATAGGGAGACGCAAGCTCTCGTTTCCAGTTAATTTCACCACACATAACATCTTCTCATCTCACCATGGATGCACACTCAGTGTTTGTTCCTGATTAATATTTCAGTGATAAAAAAGCTTCACATTTATGAATTTATGATTTAAATAGCACAACCAATCAACCGTTTACTAATCCAAAGATGGTAACTGTGATGCTTTTTGTGTTTTGTGTTTTGATTACTTTGTTTTCTATGGAACCGTCTTTGTTGGGCTGTGTCTTTCACTTTTACGAGGGTGCAATAGGAAGGGTTTGTAGAGAAAATAGATAGGGCTGCTATCCGGGGAGCTCCTCCATCCCCCCCTGGTCCTCTTTTTGAATATGAAAGGACGCCAACGCATACAGAACATCGAGAATGCCGCTCAATAATTCACACTCCTTAAAACCGCATCAATAAAAGATCAGAATTGACTACCACTGTGGGGTGAAAGACGACTTTGAATAAAACACTAAGACTGATACTTGATGGACCCTCCAAAATAACTCATTAACAAACAGACACGTACTGCACACACACACACGGAGTCATGAAATTCATTCTTGAGTTAGGGTTAACCCAATAGTATATCAAGCAAATGATAAAACATCAGTCAAACTAAATCATCTGTGACCCATTTTAAAATTTCTGAAAATCTGGTGGAACAGATCTGAAGGAGAAGGTGATTTGGGGTCTTCACATCCAGAGCGCTGTATTATTCAAAGGACTGAAACCATTCGTGGCGAGTAGTGAGATGCTCCCCGTGATCATCTAAGTCATAATGAACGCTGCGGGCGACCATCCTCCACTGATCATCACATATGCTACCGCTGCGAGCACACACACACACACACACACACACACACACACACACACACACACACACACACAATCCTAAAACAAATCCCACATATCACACAACCTGATATCAGTCAAGATTGTTAGCAGATAGCGGTGTGGTCTAAATACCCGACAATCAATCAGCACATGAACTAGTAAAAGTTATCAACCAGCCATAAAATGCTGTTCATGTTAATGCAATAATAGCAACAACATCCCAATAGTATATTTAAATTGAGCTGACAATACCTCTGTACTTTAACTTAAAATACATTTTGAATGCAGAACTTTTACTTGTAACTGAGTATGTTTATACGATTACAATATAAAGTAAAGAAAGCTACTTCTTCCAACACTGGAAACCACAATGCATGCCTCACTAAAATGTACGGTCCAATGCTTTTTCTCTGTAATCTATAATCTATAATATATGTGAGAGTCAATGAAGCTGTATCGTGCTCCCTATTGGAGGTTTATGTAACTCCCACGATCACGTGACACATGCCATTTCCAGAATGTAAATATAATCTATAACTCAAGTGTTATGACTTTCTGCTGCTGATAATTTAGAAAGTACAAAAAAAATCTATAAAAGTACTATAGGTAGACTATAAGTACATACAGGAATATTACAATAATGAATCACTCTGCATGCTAGTCTATCCCTGCAACAAATAAATCAAAGCATATAGCAATAGATGTTTCTTGTACCTGCATTGCGTCTGGATGTGTGTTGCCGTTGTGCAGAATAAATCGTAGCAATCCTTCTCCGCTCGCGCTCCTCAAATGACTCTGAGGTGATCTGCAGCAGCATGCAGAGAGACAGAGAGAAAAAAAGCCATTTGAAGGAGGAGCAGAGCTGCTCAGGAGGCTGAGCTCACACACCGAGCTGGGGATAAACACTATAAAACTACAATCATCATAGCTAGAGATTAACAAACGTTTGAAGCTGAAGAGTCAAAGCTTTTAAAACACGATTCAGTCTGCGGGAGAGTCCTGATCCTCAACAGATCTCAACAGAAAGAGCATCAAAGCCTGAGCTGCTCTCAACAAGTGAAGATGAGGCAAAGGATTTATAGAGCGACAGAAGGAGGTGGTGATGAGGTGTTCACATCGTGACACGCATTATTAGAAATGCCAGACATATTAAAACCTGCAGTGAAGGTGTATAAGTCCGAACTCAGACAGGCTCCAACAGTGCGACTCTCTGAGGAAATTAAAAAGGATTGTTGTGTTTCATACTCACATACTGTCCAAATAGATGTGCTGGTTTTATGGCTCAGTGCACTTGGCTGGCTGTGTCATCCTGCTCAGTTAAAATAATAAAAAATAGAAGATTTTATTTAATTGACTCATTTATTTTTTTAGCACCATTTTAGTTATTTTAGTGCTGATATATAAATATTACAATAGTTATTGTGGGATGGTCTCCCTAATACATGATGGTGACTTTAGGTGGATTGTTGGTTGGTTTGTTTTTGCCAATTGTTGTCAAACTATAGAAAACCACACTTCCCATCAACATTGAATAAACAGGTTGCATTTAGGTTCACAATGTCCTGAAACCAGTCTAAAAACTTACTTTAATTTGACTTTGAAATGTAATATCATAGCCCAGTGAGAGCACACTCTGTGCCGTGCACCTGCTTCCGTCCATGGTTTCACATTAACTTGGAAGGTAAACGAATACGAGCGCAGGAAGCGGCCTCCTGAGCCCAAAATATGCCCCGACATTGTTTCTGCATCTGCTTAAGTGCCTCTTTTCAAATTCTATAAAAAGTCATGAGGACGAGGGGGCGCTTTATTGCCGGGGGGGAATCTGACAAAAAAACCAGACATGCAGATCAACAGGGGGGGAGGGAGAGACATGAGAGAAAGACGGGTTTAACTGATGGAAAGAACTAAAACAACTATTAAATAATTATCTAGCAATACAACTGAACTGAGGCTGACAGGAGTGTCATTAGTTTTGCAGGTATTTATTAATAAACCTATTTTGGTCAAATTCAAAAGGTTTGACTCAATGATGGTGCTAAAGTAAAAATCAGGGGATCATCAAAGTCACTCTAGCCACTAGCAAGGCTAAACATGTAAGGAATTTTAAATTAATATCAGATTATTAACCAATGTTTACCAGTAACATCTCAACTGGAGAACGTATTAGAGTATTAGTATTCAGTCTGTCCTTGTGCTTATCTTATCTTCCTACAGGTCGCTCACTCCTGCAGAAACTGAGGTTATTTTTAGCCTCACAAGTTCCAGAGAGCCTCCAGTCTCCCCAGTGTCTTACACATCAGCTCAGGGTTTAATTGAGGGTGTGTGTTCAGTGCAGGTGTGCCTTCTCTGCGAGTGTTTGTGTGTCTGTGAAAGGGAGTGTCTTTTATTTTCTCTCTTGTCCTCATAAATGTTGCATTTTCTTTCAGAATTTGTCAGTAACACTTGTATGCATGGCTGCACACAGTTGTGCACATACTCACACGTTGTCTCCGGCTGTGCCACAAATAATCCACTGCTTCTCCTCCTTTGGTATGCAACATGATCATAGCCTTGAAATGTAATATTGCAACCTGTTTATGGTGAATAGAAAACAGAGTGGTGTTAATGCAATGGGGTAGATGAGGATAAACAGCCTCATAGCAAAGAGGACGTTAAAGGTTTGTCATTTTTTACACTCTGTGGTTATAAAATGCTTTTCCCCAAACGTTCAAACATAAAAAGGTATCAAAATAAACACTCCACAGCTATCGCAATAAACACAACTATACAATAAAACACATGCTAACACATGCTCTAAATGAAATGCTAACATGCTGATGCTAAGCAGGTAATCTGGTGATCTGCGGTTGTATTTTTTGCAGTATGAGTTTTAGGGGTTTAGTGCTTCACTCTCTTGCAGTTTAGTTATCGACGACTAAATGTAACTTTCTTTTTTTTCACACTGGACACAATACTAAAACCACTTCACTTCCCCTCTGCTGCACCCCACTCACATTGTACTGACCCATGAAGTTTAGAGGAATCATAATGCCAAGGCATGTCAACGTTTTAATTAACTCAACAACCCTAATCTGTCTCCTGTGTTAATTATGTGTGCGCAGGTCTGTGCAGCTCTGAAGATGGTCCTCGTTATTAGGGACCACTGAAGGTTACAAGTTAATTACACTGTCTGCCATCAATTAACTTACGGAATGCAGTGAATAAAAGTTTTAGATGATATTGCCATTTTCTTCTTGCATATATTTTCCAGACATCACACAACATCCATCCCAGCTGACCTGATTCATTGCAGGGTGATTGGATTGGATGGTATTTGACATGTCTTGTGTCATCTTACTGTGTTCCAACTTTCACATGTGGTTAAGTATGCTGTGTACACAATAGCTTGTGCAGGAGAGGTAAGAAGCTATGAACATATACAAAGAGCTGGGAAACTCAAGGCAAGATAAACAGAATTATATCAAATAAGAATACTACGGGAGAGAAAGAGTTTGCCAGTTTCATTGCTATGTCAATCATCCCAATTGGAGCAGGAGTTTTTGTTTGAGGTTTTCGGAAACACACATAATATGAATCTGTCAAATGTTTTGCGGTTGTGGAACCTGTAAGACACTCCGCTCCACAGGGTTTCATACCTGTAAATGTTCAGCACCACAGACAGCGACTGAGTTCAGAGGTCACATCTGCGATCGTCCTGGGGTACATCCCAAGCCTCTTAATTGCATCCCCGTTTCCCTCACTTGCGTCCTTTCCTTGCGTCTCTTAGTCCCTCCCACCAGGGATGCACGGAGAGACGCAAGGAAACCATGCGAGGAGAGAGGAAATGAGGAAATGACAATTAAGAGACTTGGGATGCACTAAACCGCAGGGAGAGGAGACAGAGGTGACCTACCACTGGAGCGATGACTGATGTCACACCTGCATCGTCTTTCCACAGATTTGACCACACCTGCTGATTCACACACAGCTTAATCAGCTCCTCACCACCATCTTGGCCTTATACTGTGTCTGTGTGACACTAAACGGTGAATGTTTTTAGTCGGAGGATGATTCACAACGCACACAGAGTGTTTGTTTCTCCTCTGCTTTCCATTATTTAACACTTGTGCGCTCTGAGTTCTGAGCCCCGGGGGCCTCAGTGCGACTAGATCTACTAAATGTCTACCTGCTATACATACGCTGTACAATTTTATTTATTTAGGAATTTGCACTTAAGTCAATAATTGGTCTTTCTACTTTTACTTCACTGCATTTTGAAAATAGTTTGATTACCAAATATTTTAAGATTTTTTTATTCACAAAAAACGGTATTATAAGCATGGATTTCAATCACTAACTGGTGTTATTATTTTTTTGGTACTATATAATAATTCATCTGTTTAATTTTCAGTTTGGACACCAGATGTCCCCATTGGCCAGAACATGACAAGCTAGCTGCTGATTTGTTTGCGTCTCAGTTCAACAAAGAGACTCAAAACATCTGATTAAACTCACCAGATAAGATGTTAAATGTGCTACATTTGTTCATCTTTCTCTTTCTTGCACATGCATTTCTAAATTGACATAATCCTAGTTTCACTCTCCTGCCCTTTGATTATGTTCCAGTGTATAATCATAGGATGTCTCTATTGACTTTACGGCCGTACAGGGTGATTAGCCTGATGTAACATCCAGTAATATTTGAACAGTTCACATGCTGATATGTGTCAACACGCTCTCTCTCTTTGAAGCAAGTCACATAAAAACACTCAACTAGCGTGTTGTAAAGACACTCTAATTTACTAGACAGACGTTTCAGCCTTCAGGGACAAAGCTGTAACTATCTGTCCTAATAACTGGATCCGGGAAAAGTGACTGCAGTATTTGTCCATGGTGGGGCTTTCTGCCTGCAGGACATTTCTCTTTCTCTGTGTAAATCTCCTAATGGTTTTGTTTACCCTTCAGCGACAATAATTACTTACTGGGCAGAGAGCGCTGCCATAAAAAGAAACAGGAAATCTGTTACTGCTCATACATTTCTTGTTGCTCTCTCTCTCTCTCTCTCTCTGTCTCAAACACACTCGTGGTTGGTCTCACACACCCAAACACACTCAAATGGATTTACATTCTTCTGCAGTTACTCTACAGCAGATTAAGAGTTTAGTGGAGCAGGACTTTCTTGCACTTACTGGCCAGACTTCGCTAAAGAAACATGCCGAGGATAGAATATCTATGGTCCGCCTCGGTTTCCCGGCTAAGATGTGACGTCAGTCTGGAGGGAAAAGTGGGGGCCCATTGAGATCCATTCACTATCTGCTGAGGATGTGAGAGGCTGTGGCTGCTTCTGCACCACCCACTTCATTTCCCCACAATCAACAGGAAGACTGGAGGCCAAGGAGAGCAGCCGCACTCTGCAGAAGAGGAAGGACGTGGAGGTCCAGCTGTACAGTCAGAACAAAGGAAAACAATCAAGGCAAAGGAATGAGCAAGAATCAGAAAGAAGTGAAGAAAATCCAGACAGTTTATCTGCAGAACTTGGAAAAACTAAACCAGGGGATAAAGCCAGACAAGAAAAGTTGGAAACCAAAGGAAGGAGACTTTGCTGCAGCGATGGAAAAGCTGCGACAGCCTCCCACAGCTGTAAAAGTAACCAAAAGCTCAGCACACAGAATCAGCAGAGATCTCACCTGCTCCATCTGCCTGGATCTCTTCAAGCAGCCGGTGTCCTTGCCCTGTGATCACACCTTCTGCCAGGGGTGCATTGATGGTTACTGGACCGGTCCCCGGGGCCCCATTCAGGGAGGCACAGGCTCCTGCCCTCAGTGCAGGAAGGTGTACCCGGGGCAATGCTACAGGCCCAACCGCATTGTTGCCAACATAGTGGAGAGCTACTGTCAGGGTCTGGAGGAGAGCGGGACTGGACCTCATCTGGCAGATGTTGGAGTGGCGGAGAGGGTTCCTGCTCCGGTCCCACGCTGCAGCCGACACAGAGAGGAGCTGAAGCTTTACTGTGAGGAGGACCAGGAGCTGGTGTGTCTGGTGTGTGGTCTCTCCCAGGAGCACAGGAACCATACCATGGTGTGTGTCCAGGAGGCTGAACAGAAGTACCGGGTGAGTTGAGCCTTAACTAAATGTCTGTTTACAGTAAACGGTTCAGCAGAGTGTCACGATCTTACAGTTGATCCGTCGATGAAGTTTAAATGTTTATTTTCCAAAATTCTACACACTAGGATGCATCTTAAGAAGTATGCATATCTAACTTAGTGCATAGTACAGTACACGGTCATTGTAATAGTGGGAATGTTTACTACATTGTATCTAAATTGTAAATTACATCATGGCAGGTGTCTATTTTTTTTATATGCAGTTTAGAATGTGTATCCATCTATTGTTTTTGCTCCATTACAACCAGTAAAAGTAGATGTGACACAGTATATGGTGATGTTGTGTCTCTGTCCGCTCAGGCGTCTCTAAACAGCTCCATGGATTCCCTCAAAGCTGAACTCAACACGGCGCTGCAGTGTGACAGGGAAGCCGAGGACGAGGTTAAAAAGCTGAAGGTGAGAGGAAACGCTTCCAAAGCACACATGCATATCATAACGCACACAGTGCAATCGCTACTGGACTATGAATGTCCAGTTCGACCTATTCAATGTCTTAAAATCTGATTTTACCAGAAAGGAATGGGTGTATCTGCCAAATGGATGTGATAATGTTTCTTATGTCCAGCACAGATTGTTACAGTACAACAGAAAAAAAATCATGGCGTAGAGTTCCCATCTTTCTGCAAAGACTAAGTGATTGCTCTCAGTGACAATGCTCCTCATCCTCCACCCACTCAGGAGCACACCGCTGACCTGAAGCAGCGCATTGAGGCCCAGTTCAGCGACCTGCACCAGTTCCTGTACCAGGAGGAGAAGCTGCTGCAGGTGAAGCTGAAGACGGAGGAGCGCAGAGAGCTGATCCGACTGGACGAGCACAAGGCCCTGCTGTGTGTGGAGATCTCTCGTCTGCAGGGAGCCGTCCACGAGATCGAGGACAAGCTGAAAGAGCAGGACGCCTTCACTCTGCTCCGGGTAGGTTCGGCTCATACGAGCATCATGCACGATGAACACAGTCCATCTGGAAATTATTTACAGCATGATGAGTCAGCTCTGGGGATGATTACGAAATGCTGAGCTCTGTATTTCAACCTTATTTGTTTCCAGAACTATTTATATCCCAATGACACCAAAGAGATCACACAGCGGAAGTTAGTTTTATACATCATTCAGTCAAGTACTTCTGTGCCAAAATCTTAAACAGGCTCCAACATTAACACACACGACTTAACCGAGCAGGGTGGGACAATTGTGGCTTTCCAGTTTCAGTTAGTACACTATTCTTAAAAGGCCATAAACAGATCGATCATGTCAGTTTTGCATTTATTTGAAGTGTACTGTTTTAGAAATGTTAACACTGCTGCTGCTTTTCTAATAACAAAAGACTTGAGCAGTGAGTGGAGACAGGATGTAGGCCAGTGATCTCACTCGTTGATCTGGAGGATAAGGAGTTTAGCTCGGGGCCATACTGTGGGACTTTCCCCCGGCCACAGGGAGATCCCACAGGGTGGATAGCGTGAGCTCAGACATTGATGTAATGTGGAAAAAAGCTTCCTCCTATTTCACACACAACAAATCTAATCACCGGTCTGCGTCTCTCTTGTCCTGTGTTTATTCTCGTGTCTCGTTTCAGAGCATCAAAGTCCTGCTCCAGAGGTGAGTGTGGGAAAGGTTTCTTTATCCTGGATGGGCTTCGTCTTTCGCTCTCTCTCTTTACTGTTCTGACTTTTGCTTTCGTTGGCAGGCCTTCGCTGAAGTTTGAGAAACCTACGTTTACACCGCCCAGCCTCTGCGAGGGCCGGTTTGCGGGGCCCCTGCAGTACAGAGTGTGGAAATTCATGAAAGGAAGCCTTTATCCAGGTACTTGAAGTGACACTTTAAGCCCCATCATCTGATACCAAAGAATCATTTAAATTTGGTAATTACTTTCCCTGTTTTTAGTTCCAGCAGCCATCACATTTAACTCCAGCACGGCCAACCCTTGGCTCAGCCTGACCTCCTCCCTCACCTGTGTTCGCTACCAGACCTTTAACCACACTGTGCAGGACAACCCCTCCAGGTTCAACGCTGCCCTGTCGCTGCTCGGGAGCCAGAGCTTCACCCACGGGCGACACTACTGGGAGATTGAAGTCTACAGCAGCACAGTCTGGACCGTGGGGGTGGCCCGAGAGTCGGTGCCCAGGAAGGGAGTCATCAAGGCCCTCCCGGCCAACGGCTTCTGGACCCTCTCCCTCTCTTACGGGATTCAGTACATGGCTGGCACTTCGCCCCCCACCGTCCTGTCCCTGGATGAGCCGCTGGTCCGGATCGGAGTGTACCTCGACTACAAGAGGGGCCTGGTGTCCTTTTACAACGCAGAGTGCATGACACACCTCTACACCTTCAGGGAGACCTTCACTGAGACGCTGTACCCTTACTTCAACCTGGGCTTTCTGGATAAAGTGCATGAAAATGAACCTCTCAAGGTTTTCCTACCAAAGATTTAACAAAACAAAACAAAAGGTGATACAAATACAACTGAAGAGGGACCACAGAGGTGAAAAATGACCAAACAATAATGGAAAATGTACTTTCCACCGTACAGAATTAGAGCAGAGTTGTGATTTTGCAATGTACATTAGAAATTAGAACCACCTGTCCAATAGAAACAGGTGTATCATAAAGGGGCCACGTGGAGTTTTCAAACAAACAAAAGTTTAAATTCAGTGTTACTCACCAAATGTCCTTGAGGTGTAACATGCATTTCCTTCCTCATAAAACATTTGCAAAGATGATTTTCATTGCAGTATTGTGCATCATGTCTGCAGGAGACCGGTGTGCTCGTGTGTTTGCCGGCTTGCAGTCTTCTTCTTACCTGACTTTGCTGACGCATTAGAGCATATATTTGTGTGTCACCGCCACCTGTTGATCAGTGGTCGGACCGTGCATCACAAAGACAACAGAAACCCACTCACTGAAAAGTAACAGTAACACAGACTGGCTCTACTGGCACACATTTCATTTCAGAGAAGCTGTGCTTCAGTGAAGAAAGTGAAACCGTCTGATATGTTTTATTTTTAATGATTCAATAATCTTTCTTGTGCATGATACACTAATACATTCAATAAAATATCTTAATCGCTCTATACTGTGATCATCATTGTTAAATAAATGTACATTATGCTTTAGTTGTTCAGATGGTGTCATATCATAGAAATTATGTATTTGGTGCATTCAGGGACCTTGGGAGATGTTAAGCTTCTTTGGTAGCAGAACGATTGTGAGAGTGAGACTTATAAGCCTTTTTCATGTGAACAAATGGTTTCAGTTTTGGATATCTACTTTGTACTTGTTGTGCTTGATGCCTTGACTGTAACAACTGTTTTCACCCTGACTGATCCAACATTTTAATAAAAGCATTTCTTGAAACTTTTTTCCCCCAAGTGCTCTTATTCCATTGTATATGTGCTGACTTAATCCCTTTGTTCTTTCTTTGACCCCAGTCATGTTGTGTGTGTCCTGTGAGGGAATTTCCTCCTTTGATGCAGGCTGAAAATCAGCGGTTGTCCTCTCTGGTTTAAAGTTGCTCCTATGACCACACCCTGCAAGATCCACCTGTAACCACACCCACCGGTGATGTCACAGTGTACTGACACCCACCAGAGTACACTTCTACATCACTGGATCCAGTTAAGAAATAAAGTCACTGGGGATAAAGCAAAATCAAGATTTTCAGCAGGTGTTAAGTTTCTGTTTAAGGTCAGTATATAAAAAATGACTGATGAGCATTTAGAAGGGAAACGTACTGGACTGCTGTGTGTCGCAAGAGAATATAAAGCACAGAAACCCAATTTAAAATACTCAAACTATAATGTGAGGGAATGTTAATGTTCTTCAAAAATGTAAATGAAAAGTATTAAATGAAACACCAGGTCTGATTTTAGCAAAACAACTGAGCTTTGATGAATCGCTTTTGTCCTCCATTCTTATTATTATTACGATTAATACATTCATTAGAAGTGAACTTTTAACCGCAGAGAGTAAAAGGTGACATTATGATAAAAAACAACAAGAAAACTATATCACATATACATTTGATATCTCAACACTGCCCTATGACGTAACCCGCTCATTACAGACGCTGGATTTACTCAAAATAATCACTGCAAACTAGTCCTCGCCTCTCATCCTATATAGCTAAACAACAAAGAAGAGTAAAGATGCAATTCTTCTGCACGGCTTCACCCCGTCTAACAGATGTGAATGTAAAGTATGCGGGTTGGTGTTTGCGGTATCAATCCGTGCATTCACTCCTCCTCTGGAGATGGGTGTGTCCGACCAAATGTTAGGGGGGGAAGTCTCCATTTAGGTTTTGGGGTAGAGTCACTTGCTTGCGTGTAACGTGTCCTGGAACTTTGTGCTGGTGTAGCGTGCATGAAAGCCTTTTTTATTGATGCTGTCGTCTGAGTGGAACTTTAAAACGATGGCGTCCCCGGCTGAGTAGACTTCGTCTGGGGCCTTTGTGGGGGAAAAATGACAAAGGTTTTTGAAGAATAATTTAAATAGTGTTAACTATACACGAGACTGATATTTTTAGCCTTACTCCAGATCCACAATATCGTCCCAGCCTCGGAGACTTGATGTCAGCGCCGTCATACAGCTCCACGTAATCATACCCACAGTCGGCCTCCTCCTCGATCTCAAACACTTGGAAGATGATCTCCACTCCGTAACCCTTCTCAGCAGAGACCACCCACAGACAGTCGGAGCCGCCCGGGTAGTTGTTATCTCCAAACTGAGCATGAGAGTAGAGATCTTTGGTCTTGACCTCGGCTTTCAGGCTTCCTCCACATTCTGAGAATTCACAGCCACAAAATTAGAGGGTCAAAAAGAGGAGCTCGTAAAAGTGATGAAAGAATGCAGCTTTCTAAACACAGCAGAAAACAACCCCATAGTTGAAATGACACATTTTTGGTATTCCATTCTGTCTCTAAAGTGCCATTTGACTCGTTTTCCAGGCTTTTTTTTTTGCTGCAGAAAGTTATGGTTGCTTTGCTTACCTGCTCTGTATGAAGCCTCAAAGCCTCTCTTCTGCACTGAGTTGTCAGAGAAAAAACGCAGGAACATTTTGTTGCCGCTGGAGATGACTGGAGAAGGCTTTTTGGTGCCACAGAAGCGCCCAAGACTCTGGGCACGCGAGTCTCGCCCGTCATAGATCTCCAGGTGGTCGTAAGTGCACTCCAGATGAGCCTCCATGTCGATCTCGTTGAAAACCTGCGAGACATTTTAAAACGCTGTGAATTACCCCCAAAAGTTGCCTTTCAAGTCTTATGAATTTGGGTCAGTTTAAAATAAAAAAATAAAATAACACCCATTGACATACAAGTTTGATGCGATGGCCCGGGGTTGTGAACAGAGACCAGGTGCAGGCCTTCTTGCTGGGATACTTATCAGGCCAGTTGGGGCTGCTCATCGTGCCTGACACCGTGTTTACAGCATGATCACAGCCCGCTGAAGAACAACACAAAATAACATATTACAACTCAACAATGGAAGCTGGTCACATCATTTCCTCCTGGTTTCGTCCTTTGAATAGGCAGCCGTCAAACGTAATAAGTGGCTATCAGTAGTTCTTAAGAAAACCATCCTCAATGAGAAAATACACGCATGTAAAAGTAAGATATAACAAAGTAAGAAAGTTCAACGCCCAGCCTCATGACTTTAAATGATCAGCTGATTCTCGTAACATCAACCACATGTTATCCACGACTTTCTGTTATCTGGGTGAACTGACCCTTTGAGTCCAACATATGAGTGCACAGCAGAAGCACCTACGGTACCTTCCTTGCAGTCGTGCTTATTATCGTGCAGCATGAAGCCGCTGCGACACTGACAGCTGTAGCTCCCGAAGGTGTTCACACATTCATGCTGGCAGCCTCCGTTTTCTTTGGAGCACTCGTCTATATCTGTTTAAAGACATTTTTTATTCAAAATTCCTTCGCACAACGTGCAGATGTGTCACAAGAGGCTGCAGAACATATCAAATTAACAATTTAGAGCATTATCTGCTGCTGAGCGCAGACACAAAGGCTTTCTGTGTTTCTCAAGGAGGAAGAATCTGCAGAATGAAAAACTTAAGACCTAACCCTGGGTCATCTCTCAGCAAAACATCTCTTGGGTTAGAGCCTTGTGTAAGTATTTTTGAAAAGCTCAGTCCTTCCTGTCAATAGAACATTTGTTAAAATACAGAATTTGACGTTCCGAATGTTTAATAATAAGTAATTGAGATGTTACTGTGGGGAGTTTTATTTGGGATATCAATATTTCTTCAATAACAAAAAGAGAAATGCAGTAGGATTTTTTGTGGATAAAAAAATATAATTATTTCTAAAGTAATCTGTGGTCTGGTGAAGCAGAACACATTTATTTAAGGTACGTCACTTTCTGCATAATTTATTATTGTGTTGAATATAATTTTTTGCACTGAAATATTCTTTACAATATTAGAAAAAACACAAACACTAGACCTGCAACGTTAACAAAGAATAAATGTGAATGTGACTCTGAATGTGAAATTAAGAGATTTATTTGATTTAAACACCAAGCATGATACTAAATTATTTAGTCGTGCAAAATTAAATTCAAGCTTCACATAGAGTCAAACTAAACGCCTCCTTTCTTGTGTAAGAAACTGAAGACAACTGCATGCCTGGTTGTTGGATTGGGGTGATGATTTGCTCTTTTTTACTGCACAAGGTCCTGGACATTACGTACTTACTAATGTCCATCCTCAACACTTCACTCCTCATGACTTACCAGAGAAGAAGTGAGCCTTGAAGCCCCTCTTGGAGACCGTGTTGTCAGACTTGAACTCAATCCTCATGTTGTTTTGTTGGGAGGTGATGACCTCGGGCTTCTCCGCTCCACAGAACTTCCCATGAAGCTCCGAGTCCGAACTCAACCCACTGCGCACCTCCACATAATCATATTTACACACCTGATGGTAAACACTGGACAATTTTACTCACGACAGAGGAAAAAGACGCGGCATGTGAAATTATGATGATTTAACAGTTTAACAATATATAGAAAAATGTCACTTTAATCAACTTACGTCATTCCCTTCGGTCTCGAACACATCAAACACCAGAGTGATGCGATACTGAATGGGTGCCACCAGCTGCCACACGCAGTTCTTGTTGGGAGGGTATTCTTTGGGCCACCCGGGGGTGGTGAGGGAGCCATTCAGCTTGGTGATGAACCCGCCACAGGCAGCTGCTGGTGGGAGAAAACACTGATTTTAGTGGTTGAAGTGTGAAAAACATTTGGATAACATAAAGTACATCACCCATTTGCTTGGATTTGTGAATTCTTATTTAATCATTTAACTGCAAAAGAAGATTACCGATTCATTTGTGGGTTTTTTATTACATAGAAATGTTAAGAAATAAAGTTATAACCAAGTATAACTGATATAATAAGAGATAGTGTACTGGAATAAACCAGTGGAGATCAAAGGTTGCAGAATCACATCATATTTATTTCTATAAAATTGTAATGTGGGGAAATGTAATTCCTATTTGTGCGGTTTAGAGATGAATCAAATCAGTGGTAACAGGCTGTCAGGGCTCATAAAGAAGTTGCAGTGAGTACTGCCCTCTCGTGGTGGAAGAGAGAATACCAGGGATTCATGTCTCAACTGCAAAAAGAGATGAGGCTGCCTTCTCATAAGTGTTCGTTTGAGCACTTGTACGAGTTTTAAAATTCGGAAAACATGTCATTTTCAGTTGTCATCTATCTACCTTTGACTTTATTGTCTAAGTTGATATTTCCTAGTTGCAGATTTCAGGCTTGTCTGAGGTTTTCAAATGTTTGCAGGAACTCGATTCAACAAATTCAGAGCATGTTGATTGGGTTTAGTTCAGCTGTTGAATGGGCCTGAGGATGAATGAACTCCAGTGGAAACAAATGTCAGATGTATGTAGTTTGCTTTGCTTAACAGAAAGACTTTAAATCGGTGCCGATAGGTGGATTTAATTACATTTGACCAGAGCCATGCTGTTTCCCCTTGTTTCCAGTCTTTACGCTAAGCTAAGCTAAACCAGTTGCAGGCTGTAGCCTTAAATTTAACAGAAATATACCAGGGAGGCATTGATCTTCTTAATTTACTCTCCTCCAGAAAAGTGAATGATTGTATTTCCGAAAATGGCCAACTGGGAAATACCCTCAGAGCAAAGTGGAGACTGGAGCTGACCTGGCTCTCAGGTTTTAGTGCGTGAAGTCGTGCTCTCTACTCACTCTCACAGCTGCGTCTGTCGGCTGCCAGCTCATATCCGGGGTCACATGCACATCTGTAGCTGCCCAGTGTGTTCACACAGCGCTGCTCGCAGTGACCGTTGTTCGGTCCGGAGCACTCATCCATCTCTGACAAAATGAAAAATCAGAAGAATGAAAACCAGAAGTTCTTGTCTTTCGCTGGCCATTTTTAACCGGCGTTACTTTCTGACCTTTAAAAAAGTTGGCCGCAAACCCGGCTTTGTTGACCGAGCTGTCAGACACAAACTTCAGCCAGAGCCGGTTGGAACTGCTTTTGATGTCGGCAGGTTTGTCGTAGCTGCAGAAACGGCCGAGCAGCGGGCTGCTCTCTGAGCCGCCGTCCCTCACCTCCACGTAGTCGTAGGCGCAGCTGTCGTGCCTCTCAACCTGCAGTGGAAGCAAGGACAATGAAGTTTGCAAAGCAGGTGAAAGTGATATTGGTGTCTTCTTGCCTTTCAAGGTCTGGGCAATGGAAACAAAAGTAAGAGCAAAAGAAAGCTTCAAGGTACCTGAGGGAATATGAGGTTTGTGAAACATTCTCCCAGTTTGTTCATTTCTCCTGGAGATATTTCCTTGTTTTTCTTAACACGTTAATCACAATAAATAGATTTTACCTCAAACGACTGAAAGGAGAGGCCAACATCGAAACCTTCTGCTACTGTGATTTTCCACACACACATTTTGTTGGACTGGTAGTCGTCGGGATAGTTGGGGGACTGGATCTGGCCGCTGTCCCGCTTCACCTCTCCCCCACAGATGGCTGCACAGGAGGTGAGAAGTGATTTGTTTCATCCAGAGATATCCATATTTCTACCTTCAGTTGTCTACGTTATAAAGTAGCGTGTGTAAAGTGCATATTAAACATGCACGCATTATCAAAGTCGTACCTTCATACACCGCTGAAAAGCCTTTGCCCACCCAGCTGCTGCTGCTTCTGAATTCAATCCACAGTCGACTGTCGGTGGAGATGATTGAATCTGGAAGTGTGTCTCCACAAAAACGACCTGCCAAAGTACACGGAAAGATCGTAATTCACATTGCTGACTACATGATACAGGAATGACACGGCATCATGTTTTGTGGATGATGCTCAGCAGAGAGAGAGAGGAGGTCTACTGTAAATCACAGTTAAAGACCTTTCAGAGGAGCTTTTCTCCAGAACCCGTCTCGGACCTCCACGTGGTCGTACCAACACAAGTGACTCCTGAAGAGGTCCATGGAAGTGAAATTCAGAACAATCTGAGAGCCAGAAGAAACACAAGGAGGACAGAATGTCAGAAGGATAGAAAGGGATATAAACATTTAACATCTATTTAAATCAAACAGTGCTTTCCTGATGTTGTTACTTCTTGATTTGAACAACGTGAGCTTGTCACGTACTGAAAGCTGAATAATATAAGTGATTCACTGTAATTCATCATTTTAAACTAACAATAATCCTTTGATTGCAATGTGTTTTTAATCAAAGTAAGTAATATAAATCTTAACTCACTATCTTAATTGAATGAACATTGTGATACGAGCAAACACTGGCATTCATTAAGTCGCTAACTTGATACATTTGGTGAATCGTCTCGCCCTTTTTGAATAAATGCTTCCACCACTCACCTTCTCTCCAGGAGTGACAGAAATCCTCCAGACACAGTGAGCGTAAGCTGAGTAGCCGTTCGGAAAACCGGGAGAAGAGAAGTTTCCAGCACTTTCCTGCAGGCTGTCCCCACACCCTTTAACCACCACACGGTTATATCACAAAAGACCAGAGCAAGGACATTAAAGTCCCAGAATGAACAAACCAGAGGAGATTTTAAACTGTTTGCATTCGCTTTAGTGCACATTCAGTCATGATGTGTCATATCTAATTGGTTTTGATAAGTGATAAAAGTCTAAAATCAAGGTGTCATTTGGATGTATATATTTTCTGCACAGCTCACTTGCACACTTGTAGAGTTTGCGGGCTTGCGCAATGTCGCCTTTGCTAAGCCTGGTCCTCTGTCCAATAGGTGGCCTGGCTCCATTGACGTCATAACGGGGCAAGATTGTGTCCAAGAAGATGCCTCTGTTTCAGAAAGATCACAAATGTGAGCAGTTCATTCTCAGAGAAGATACAAAAAATAAAAATACTACGTCACATGTAGCTTGAGGAGAAACATCGTCTAACTGATGTGCAGGAAAATGTGTTTTTCAAAAGTTCACACGGAGACCTTTTTTTTTTCTCGGTCCGACTCCTGTTCAACACCTTGATGCTTTATTGATCGCGATAATCTCTCATGGGTTTGGAGCTCACGCTTGCACAGTTCCCATGGCGATGCACCCATGAATGACAGGCATGTGCAAACAGGGCACTCTGAATGGGGCCTTTCGACGGTGCCAAGCTCAGCGGAGCCCGCTCCTGAATGCCAGAGAAAAAGGCCACTCTAGCCCAAATTGTTCAACAAAGCCTGAACTGCCAGGCCTTTATTTAGCTTGGCTCGCCTCCATGACCCAGACCGGCAAAGCAGCGATGGAGGTAAAAACGACAAAGCACAGAGAAAAGCAACAACATGCACGAGACAGAAAATGAAAAGGAAACTAGTGTGAAACCATTTCTGTGACAAATAAAGGATCAAATCCCCTGAGGTTTCCTACGGAGCGTGTTTAGCAGAGCTGAATGAAGGGATAAACACCAGGTCAGTGTAGCTCAGCTGCTAATGCAGCGTGATATTAGGGGCAGTTAGGGAGGTCAAATGACCATAAAACATGTGAAAAATATACTCAATTCAAACTCTAAACTTGAGTAGTGTAAAGGAGTTTGACCACTGATTGTCAGCTGGTGAGGATGATGGGCTGCTTAGAGGAGCAGGCTTGTGCTCTGTATGTTGCCAGTTAAAATGAACAGGCAGGGTGGACAGAGTGAATCACCAAATGCTCTGCAGTTTGGCTCTCGAGCCAAAAATTGCCCCGGTGAAGCTGTTTAATGGCCTGTTAATGTGAACCAGGGAAAGGCTGAAAACAAAGAACACCTGGGAAATAAAAGTGATGAAATCCTTGCAGTCGCTTAAACAGAAACTTTAGGAAAGAAAAGCATAAGAACGCCAACCTGGAAAATGTATTTCTTGCGTAATGCATGATGCTGCCAAAGTCGTACACCTCCCCGAGTGAGTCGACCTCGCCCGGCTCCATCTTCAGGAAGTTATACTCCTGTCCTATTCATACACAGAGAATCAGCTGACTAAACGCTAGGAGAAACATCTGGGGCGTCTGTGAGCATGCACACACACACACACACACACACACACACACACACACACACACACACGCGCGCGTTTTCACACTTGTTTCATGTCATCACAGTAACAGTACCTGGTTGGATGTTGTCTCTGATGATGCTTACATGCTCGTCTCGGTCCGGACGTGTGTGTTCGTGCCAGAAGCCGATCACGTGGCCGAGTTCATGCACCACAATGCCAAACTTATCACAGTTCTTTCCTATGGAGATGGCCTGAGGGCCGCCACCTCTCCTCCCCACGTAGGAGCAACACCTGCAGGGGGCGACACTGTTCAGCTCCAAGCGCCTTCAGAACAAACACTCATTCTTTTGCTGCTGGTGAATATTTAAGAAACCATACCACCCTGTGTTAGCAAGTTTAAACTCTAGTCTTTAAACTATTCATTATAAGTCGTCTACATTTTCATTTTTGTTGACCTTTGTAGAATGCAGGTTTTACAGCTTTAGGTTCTTGGATATCATGTTCCTACAGTCCAAAGCTCTGAACTCACCCACAAGGTCGGTAGGTGAACACAATGTAGCTTTCTTCACTCGTCCTCTCAGTGAATGTTACACAAGTGTGCTTCTCCCAGTGACGCATGGCCTGACGGAAAATAGCTCTCTGACTGCCTGAGAGGAATAAGAGGTTGACAGTTTCAACGTGTCAAAAGCACACAAGGTAACGAACACATGCTGGCTGTGTGTATAGCAAACAACTCCCCTGTAAGAACGTATGAATGATGCACTGTTTTCAGTGAGAACTCACCAGTGAAATTCCCGCTGATCACATACGGGATGATGCCGTCCGTCCACACTCGCTCGGGTCTGGAGGTGGCTGCTCTCCTCCGACGGAGACTCGGTCTGTCTGCAGCTCTCTTGGCCCTGACGCCCTCATTGGAAGAGGAACTGTTGACTGTAAAAGAAAATCATTTGTAAAAGTCCCTTTTTTAAACTCAATCAACAGTCAGTCAGAATCATGCATGGATTAGTTAAAGTATTCCTGCTTTGATACCCGAGTCTGTGTGGTTGATGCGTGGACTGATATGTGCTTCTTTGAACATGCGCAGGTCCTCTTCATCAAGGGCGATGTCTCCCCAAAAGGCAGCTGGGGCAAACAGATGAACACACAGATACACAATACATTGCATAAAGATGAAATTATGTTAAAGATGTACAATAAATAAGTATGAAGCTGCAGCCGGCAGACGGGTAGTTTAGCTTAAAGAATGGAAACGGGGGGAAACAGTTAGCCTGGTTCTCTGCCTACCAGCATCTCTAAAGCTCTCTAATCAACACCTTATCTAATTTGTTTAATTCATACAAAACCCAGAGTGTTAAACCATGCTGTGGTTTTATGGACAGTTATGTGCAGAACTAAAATAAATTAGATCAAAAGGAAAAGTGAACTAGTGAGCGTTGATTTGTTTTTTGTTGTTGTTTTTCTACCTTTGGGCAGAGCCAGGCTATAGCTGCTTACCCCTGTTTCCAGTCTTCATGCTAAGCTAAGCTAACCATTTGCTGGCTGTAGCTACATATTTAATGAACAGATGAAAGGTTGACATTGATCTTTTCGTCCAAAGCCTGTAAGACAGTACATTTCCCAATATGTCAAACTATGTCTTCAAGAAAAGTGTTGTGTAAGTAGAAGCCTTGATCTGAGGAAAATAAACTTGTCCTACTTTTTCATACTGTAAACCTGGAACCAAACTTTACACACATTAGCTCATTCTTTCACACTCTCCAACTATTGTGCTGTTTGAGTAATGGGTGGAATTATTTGCTCCACACAGACAAAACCAGTTTCAACTTATTTTTTAACTTTATCTCTGAAGTTCAGCATGTTTTTTCTCTCTCCTGCAAACAGGAGCCAAAACTAACTTCATGCTTCAGTGTGTGTGTAAGTGCACATCACTGTCCTGAAAAGAGGTCTGAACGGGACTCCGTGTGTCTGTTTGATCAGCAAATACACCCCCTGAGCACACAAACCCAAACACATTGGAGGACGGTCCCGCTACTGCCTCATTTTAAAGAATGAAGACGTGAACTGAATACTTTACAGGATTGTCATCACACTGTACTGGACTTAATCTACTCAAATGGCAAAAAAAACTCCAAGAACAATTGTAGGAGCTTCATAAAAATGGCATATAGATAATGTCTGCATAGTTTTATGTTGACTCTGTTGTAGTAAAGTGCATCGGTCAAGAATTGGGGATGTGTTTTCATATTCAAGCTCAGCAACTCATAAACTCATGAGTGTAGTCCTCCACATCGGAGCAAAGACCTTCAAAAGTACTGCATCGTTCTACAGCTTTACTATATGGACTAAACATATTTCTCTACTATATGTGAGGAAACGCTGAGCACTCCAGCATGTTGGTTTTGTGTGTGTTTAGCAGCATGGAGTTCCCAAACATTGATCTTATCTCTTGAATGAGGCCCAGATGGGATTTTGATAACGTTTAACAACATAATAAAGTCATCTTTTCTACAGAAGCATGAAATAAAAGATATCAAATACGTTCACTCAAGTATTGTACAGTTAGTTTATATGATATCTATAGTTACTAGTTACTTTTCAGATCAATATTTTAAACACAAAACACAACGTGACTTGTTAGATTAAACCACACAGCATATAAACAATTAGCTTCACCTCAACTGGTAACATTAAAAAAGCTGCTTACACTTTGTTGCATCAGTTTGACCGGTTGATTTTTGAAATCATATTCATCATATTTTCCCGTAATAAAATATGTCACAATATGACAAATGTCAGCCATACTGAATAAATGAACTGTATTCCTCCGTTATAAGTAAGTATATGATAACTAAATACGATCATATTCCTACAATGTGATTCCACTGAAATATATACAACTCTGAAAGGAGTTAGTCCGGATAATGAGTATTACTTTAAGTACATTTTACTGATACTACGGCTGTATTTAAATTACATTGTGAGTGCTTTTTTTTAACTTGTAAGGTAAAAGCTTAGAGTTGCAACTTAACAGCTGGAGTAGAGTTAGGGTAGCAAATCTAAATCCAGGCTTTAAAATGTGTTCTGAAACGTATAGGTGACATCACGCACACATTGGTTTCTGTTCCCTCTATGGGTTAAACATTTAGTTTCCTCCTGTATAAATCAGGATCTCACGTTGTACTAGTCGAGCACAACAGCTCACCAGAGTCGTTCCCATTAAATACCTCATTTAGCCATGTGATGTAACAACCTTTGAAAGTCCAAATGAAAAGACATAGCAGGCCCTGTGTCGGCCTTTGAAGTGAATTCACTCATGCGAAGGGTGACTGTAAATGACTGTCACCCCTGCAGTGTGCACCCCATGCCCTGAAGCCAGAGGGATTTCACCGGCGTCCAGCCGAGGACTGCGCTGGCACGGCCTCAATGACCTCTAGTCTCCAGGCAACTGCCTCTGAGAAGAAGAGCGGTGTGTTTTGGAAGTTTCAGAAGTCACAAGTGAAAAGGGACTCCAAGCAGCTGGAAGCCCCCCAATAACCAAAGTAATTGTTTGGCATGTTCGGTGATGGAGAAAAACAACTTGTATATTCTTTACACTGAGAACGCTCGTAGTTATTGCAACACTACATCAATATTATGCTCATAAAATAGGATGCTTTTGCTGGAGATGAAATTACCACGAAAACATTAGAAACACTGAAGAATGCATCTACACATACATTTGTAACAATAACCTAATGATATAATATGGCATTACAAAAGGGGCCATTCTGTCCCCTCGTGAGAACTTTTATTTATGATACTTGAGTGCATTTAGCTGATAATACTTTTGTACTTCAGCTTAAGTGAAATGACATGATTTTACTTGTATTACTTGTAATGGAGTATTTCCCAGTGCGGTTTTACTTCTTCCACCACCACCTTGACTTTGAACATTACTCGAGAGATGTTGAATTAAAGGGATTTGTTTCAAATCATTATCAAAATGCCTTTGTTTTACTTTTAGCCGAGATTAAACAGATCACATGGAAAGAAAAGAGCAAGTTAATAGTAGTAAAATGTACAGTAACACAAGCTTGACTGTGAAAGTATTTATTTATGTTGCTGTAATATCAAATGCAATTAACTAACTCAGATGAAAATGTGCTTGTTATTTTGTTGTTGCCGTTTTTAGCATGTAAATACTAAATGATCAAGTGTCTTCATATTGAACTTAATACATGTGTTAGCTCACAGTGATGAGGGCCGAGGGGGCCATGGATACTGGCTCAATATGCACCAGAAATGAAATGCAAAAGATCAATAACTTCATAGAGTAGGTCAAAATCCACAGTACCAGCTTTGCAAGGATCTTTGTAGTCGATTGCATCACCGAGGTAGGTAAAATTAGTGTCCACCAACTCCCAATCAGCCGCCAGAGAAACGCGCAGACTGCACAGCAGCAACAGCAATGTTGGAGCGACTTCCATCAGGCTAATTGCGATTAAATATCTACGAGCGGTAAAGTTGGTGAGATAGTAAGAAGAAGAGAAAATAGCGCAAAAAACAAAAGTTCCTCGAATGCGGCGGTGTGATTTCAGAAACTCAGCGTCTCCATTCTGCTGCGGTGATTCGCTGCCATACAGGACGGAGAGCAGAGCGCGCACGGTCCACAGCGAAACACACATCCATGCATCTGAAGCCGGAGGGGTGCTTCACCTGCAGGCGGACGGGTTATGCACGCTTACACAATGTGTGAGTATAGCCCGAGTGTTTATTTCTTTATGTTTTAGTTCTGGTGGACACTAGAGGACCGTTTTGGAGTAAAATGAACAGCTAAGATGAAGAAATAAGAGTAAAGCTTCAAAGTCTAGCTCCTGGCATATAACTTTACGTGCATGCTCGGACAATTTATTTAAAAACAGTATTCATTTGGGAATTCCTGGAAATACTTTGATAGAGCAGCTATGCCACGTCTTATTAAATACCAGGCTTCTAGAGAGCTGCTTCAAAGACATTCTCAATAGGTGTTGATTCTTGACCGGATGCACCACCTGCAGGTTCCAGGGTCCGAACCACACACACACACACACACACACACACACATTGTGTGTAGGGACACTGACTCATTAGTGCAGGAGCTGATTGAGGAACAAGCTAAAGTGCAATTTAAGAGAGGAAAGAATCAACTTACCGAGTGTGATGAGTTTAATGTCCTCCTCAGCTGCCCCCCCCAAAGCTCATTCATTCCGTGACTGATGCATGTAGTTTGCCCATTTTATTTAGCAAATACATTAACTTTTAAATAAATCCTGTTTTCTGATCCCCATCTGAAGTACTTTACTGTTGCACAGTGTTGTGCAGTGATGGCAAGCTAAAATTCAGTCCCCTCTATAAACAGTTTTGTGTTGGCACAGACAGAAAGGACTACTGCCATGTTTTCTTTTATTTGGGTGAAAGGCCAAACAACTGTCACTTCAGTTTAGTTGGTTTGGTGTCAAAGGTTCTCTCTATTGAAGCTGTTAATGTTGCTTTGAGATTATCATCAGTTTTTAACTGAGTCTTCTTAAGTCTGATGCAACATTCAGGTCTAAAAATGGCCGGTATATTTCAGGCATACATCAAAGTAGACACAAAACTTTATTTTTAACACTTTAAAAGGAATAATTCGACGTTTTTACTCATCCTAAGGCCATACAGGCATGAGCTGGTCAAATAGACCAATGCGTTTCTTTCAGAAATCTCACAAGTATACCTTTATTATAATACTGAGATTATTCAAAAAGACATTATAGTTGCTAAAATAATCTATTATATTTGGGCGTGGCATCTCAAGCAAGTTCCTGAGACAAAGGGAACTCTGCAGTGGTGAACTGTCTCAACGTTTAAATGAAGAATGACAAAAAAAATGGAGAATTATTACACTTACGCTTTACTGCAGAGACTAAGAGGAGGGGATTGATACCACTCTCTGATTTGTACGTTATGTACAGTATGAAGTTGCAGTCAGCAGGGGATTAGCGTAGATTAGTGTAAACCCTGGAAGCAGGGGAAACAGTTAGCCGACTCTGTCCAAAGGTAACACAATCCACCTCCCAGTACCGCTGACTTTTCTTCAACATGTTATATAACATGTCCATAGTGCTTCTTGCCTCTCACAGTTGATAATTTAACTTTCTTTTCTTCAGCTTGAAAGCTCATTTTTAGCATTTCTTTTCTTGTGTGATTACCTAAAAGGTTTTCCTGTGCTTGACATTAGATGGTAATCTTGTATCAGCCGTTCCAACAAAGTGTTACACATAAAGAGAAACATGTCATTATTCCAGTTTTCACTGAGGTTAAGTTTTTACTTTTAAATAAACTGAACTGAAGGACCAGTACAGTGCAGCAGTACAGCATGTTGCATGTGTTAACCACCAAGTGGCACTGGTGGTTAGGTGTTGAATTGAGTAAACCTGCAAGAGAAGGGAAAGAACAAAAACAAACAAAAAAAGTTAGCAAGAAAAATAATCTGGTGAAGGCTGCAGGGTCATTCAGACAAACACGTAGAATCCCCCACTAACACTTTTTCTTTTCAATTTTGTTGATGTGAGCTCACGGCACCGTGTGTTAAATGATTTGGTGTGGAGAGAGAGAGAGAGAGAGAGAGAGAGAGAGAGAGAGAGAGAGAGAGCCAAAGACTCCAACCACCTTCACTCCTCCTCAGCACACAACTGCTGCTGAGGAGATGGGACGCTGACCCAGAGAGGAGCGTTTCATGCCTTGGAGAGTTGTCTGCACAGCATGGCTGACTACACCGGTGTGTTGTGAGTGGGGAAAGTGGCCGAAAAAAACTCCAACTGGAGAGCATTAATGTTTACCTTCTCTTTGGTTGAGCTGGTGCTTTCTCTTAAACCTGGGGTGATGTCCCAGTGCTGGTGCAGGCAGGTCCTGCTCGGTGTGGAACTGGGCATGCTGGTGACGGTGTTGGTGGCCGGCAGTGCCGGACAGATCCATGACAGGAGGGAGGCAGGGTCGTCCTGCTATGGAGGATTCGACCTGTACTTTGTTTTGGACAAGTGAGTGCTACTACTTTCACAGGTTTTTGTGCACGACTCATCTGAGATTGTTTTGAAGATAAACATCATTCAAAACCATCTCCAGAGACATTCAATGGGCATGAAAAATGTGCTATTGTGCTTTAACTAACGGTGAAACATTCATTCAGTCATCAGATCTGATGATTTCTTGTGGCTCAGGATAGGGAATTTTTCGACCACAACATTTTATGCTTCAGCATTTTCCAATTTTTTATTATTTAATTGAGGAGGAAACTAATCAACAACATTGTAATTGTTTGTCATTCTGCCCTGCAACAAACTATTTTCATTATGGATTCATTGATTGGTGATTTGGTCTATAAATAGTGAGAAAATAGTGAAACATGCCTATCACAGGTCTTAGGTGAAGTCTTCAGATGTCTTGTTTTGTCCGACCAACAGTTCAAAACTAAAAATAATCTGTTTAAAAGTCATAAAGAGCAGAAAAACAGAAAATACTCGCATTGGAAAAGCTGGAACCAGAGATTGGTTTTCACTTTGGCGTGAAAATTACTTAAAACAACGAAGTGCTTATCAAAACAGTAGTCGATTTTCTGTCAATTAATCAATCAATTAGTTGGCTGTGTCATTTTATTTAAGCATAGGAGCAGATTTCTACAGACTTGAGTGCAAACATAAGGGTTCAATTGCGCTGTTCATTAAACTGTCATGATGTGAAGCTCCTCAACAGGTCAAGTCATGTGTCAGCGTGTTGTTGTTCTGTGTTGCAAAAACATAAGCTTTAACTTAGGAGTAGTATGATTTGACTAAAAACTGTGTTTACGCAACGATGAATCATTTGCAAAGTGCTGATGCATTCACTTCAATGATAAAGTGCACCGCAGGGATTCCTGTTGTCAAAGTGTGGCCACATTTCACTGACAGGAGCTCACATTTAGTCCCGACTTCAGCTCTCTGTGCTCCAGTCTGCAGAACCCTTTCTCCATTAGAGCCAGATGTTCCAAAGATCCAGAGTTATTGGCTGTCTCTGCACTGGGACTCGCATCACGGGATAAATGAAAACATAAGAGAGGGAGAAGAGGTTATGCATATTTGCCGCACGATTCTTTTTGATTTCTGACTTCCACTTTAAAAGCTGCATTCTTCTTCTTCTGATTGTTGTGTCTTAGTGCGCACCTGATTGAAAAATCACCACTTGACATGAAGCTAAGATCAACGACGTGGCACTTTTTGGTTTTTTGTTTGGCATTTTGAAAATGAGCAGCGAAGCCACATGAGAAAATGTGGAAATATAAAGCTTCAGAACTCAGGAGGAAATACAAAGGCTTACAACTCACTGGCTTCTCTGTGTGAAGTTTCACTGTGATGAAGACGTAGGTGGACTCATACAATTACGTATTTACAGTACATTTAATATGCCGATAGTTCATGGGACACTGACAACAGCAAAACAAACGTGCAAAAAGCAGCTGCAGATAAACAAACCATTCGATTTTGGGATCTAGATTTGCATACCAACAACTTAAAACTACAAAGGACCACAGTTTGGCTATATAAACATTTTTGAATGGAACATTGTACATTGTTTATAACCTGAAGCTAAATGTGCAGTACTTTTGATCAGACTCAAATAATTTCATCTATCTAGTCATTAAACTGGCAAGAATTTTGGCAGTCAATTAATCGTTTGAATCATTAATTCAAGAAAAAACGCTAAATAAATAGCCAGTTCCGGTCTCTAAAATATAAAAATGTCCCGCTTTTATTTGTATTAAATGATTGTAAACTCAATATATTTGAGCTTTGAATTGCATTTCAGACAAGACAAGCAACTGGAAGATGTCCCTTTGGCATTTTCTGATGTTTTATAGACCAACCATTCAGCAGATCAATTAATAATGACAATAATCATTAGACGTGAACTCAATGGGAGAATGATGCAGTCCTCGATCGGGTCACATCACAACCTCAAAAGTGAATGTAAGATTCATGAGGAGTATTACACAGTCTGTGAAAACAACAGTTAGTTTCAGCTTCATCAATTTTGGCATCTTCTGTTTCTTGCAAGTCCTTTAAGAGCAGTGAATGCTGCAATCTTTACAGTAAGGACTAGATGCAAAGTGCAGTGTGGTTTCATCTCGTTACAACTGATTGTGTTCAACATTATCGACAGGGGTCGTGAAATTAAACGCACCATACTACATGACATAGAAACGTAGAACCTCGAGGTCATTTAGGACTGCTACACTTACACTTATTACATTTTAGAAAATTCCTCTCTTTCAGGTCTGGCAGTGTGCAACATTACTGGAATGAGATTTATTACTTTGTTGACCACCTGGCTGACAAGTTTATCAGGTAGGTCCACACAGAAACATCAAATTTAGAGAGAAAATTATACAACGTACAACATCTTCTCTTCTTTTTCCCCCCAGTCCTCAGCTACGGATGTCTTTCATTGTGTTTTCAACAGAAGGAAGGATTCTCATGGCACTAACAGAAGACAGGTGCGTACATGCGCGGCCTCACTCAAACGTCTTAACGATTTTATTTGCACGTCTGTTGTGTTTTTTCTCGTATTCAGTTGAATTTAATCATCCGTGCCATCTCTTTCTATTTCAATTAATGTACGTTTTTATTCTCTGGACTATACGTCAATGATCAGAGAGAAGATCCGGGCTGGACTGGAGGAGCTAAGCATGGTGCAGCCAGGTGGAGACACCTTCATGCACAAAGGTTTTCAAAGAGTAAGCCATCTGTTAAGTCAATGGGAAACAGACTTACCCAACTTACCCAACAGTATGGCATCTGACCTTTTTTTTTTTCTTTTTAAATGAGGC